GTTACACCACCACCACCATCATCATCATCATCATCAGCATTAACAATTACGTGCAATATAACTTATAGGTCTCCATGTAATATATGATGCCAAGAAACACACATTAATCCAAATCACTTTTACTTGCCATCTAAAACTGTTCAAAACTGTCTATGAAATAAGTTTGACTATTTTTATATCATCTAAAACACACAGGGTGATCCATTAACGCCATGAAAAAAAAAACAATATTGTTTCATTTAATATTTTTTTAGTAAACGGGAACAATTACAAAACTTTTCTGATTAGCGTCGTCTACCGTAAAAATTTCAAGATGGCGTCCTTTATACTGAAGTTGATATGGTAATAACAAAAAAAAGTTCACACTAAACTAATGAAGGGTTTAACAGCGTATCTAAAAAGTGTATTTTCAATTTAGTTTATATAAAGAAAATTTCGAAGAAACGACAATTTTTTGTAACACTAGCAGTTGCGCCCTCTAGCGGTGAAGTTGCAAACTCGAAAATATTTAAAATCAATTTATTTTGGTAGTATTTGTTAATAAATTTTTTATAGATACGACATAGCTTCAATTAATTAAAAAAAAGTAAGGTTACTACGCCTCTGTATTAGATGAATATAATTCACAATTTTCCATAAAGATTTTAAACTGAAGTAAAAAAAGCAAACAGCGAATCTTTAATTTTTTATGAGATACAAATAGAAAGTGAATATTTTTCAAATCAGCCTCCCTTAGAACTTGCAGTTATATCAGCTTCAATATTTTGCGGTAATTCAATTCTAAGGGCCCATTTGCAAATATTTCATGAATCAATTTTACAGCAAATTGTTCATAACGCAAGCTCATATCCGGTTTTTAGATCGAGTTGGATTAAGCCTTCCCAAAATATTCGATTTGGCGCATTATTGAATCGCCGCCACTCGGCAGAAATTGACTGGTAATTTTCGTATCCTGTCTCGGCGAAAATCGATAGGAGACAGGCTCATTAAATTTTCGGAATAGATTTTGCAGGCCGCAGACAGCAAAGAGCAATTTTAAAACGAACTCTGAATACATATTTTCAAACCATAGTTATAAAATCATTTGAATGAGGGAACATGTACGGGGTGTTTTAGAAAGACATCATAAATCGAAGCATCGAAAGTAAGAGTCTATTGTATTTTGTTTTATACGAATATGGTTCATAAATACCTTCAATATGGCTAATCAAATCCAGATAAAACTTGGTACAATTTTTTAGGTATTGAATTGCAATAATCTCATAGAGGAAACGTTTTTTTTTCTCAAATACACTGCATCCCATCTCGGTGACAACCTAAGGTATTTCGGATGTTATTAATAAAGGAAAGTTATACACTTTCTTGAGAGAAATCGTTTTTGCATTCATGTTCATAGGAAACTGTTTACTTAAACTGATGTTTCCGTTGTCGTCTTTCTGTTTGGCATAATACTTTTGGAGCACTCTGTATAATACTTGCAAAAAGACTATTACAAACTTCTATTAATGCTGTTGTGGCACACTTTTTATATTGATAGTAGATATATGTATGCAGACCGATTTAAACCATCTAGGCAACGGGAAATAAAGTTTGGTATCCTTAATTTAAAAATCTGCTGGTTGTTCGATTAAAACAGCAGCGGAAAAACTAATTATCTTCCTTTTACGTCGTATAAAAATAAGTGCCTTAATCTTAATCTGTCTGGTTGTTCAATTACAGAGCAAGCACGCCTGGGAAGTTATGAAACTGCAGTGAAAAGTTAAAATGTAAAATTATTTTACGGATATATAAGGCGTTTTTTAAATAGGTTACGGGAGATTGCGCTAAAGACTCATAGTTTGGGACAAAAATATGTAAATTTGTGTATCTACTACTACATTCCTCGTGGTCGTTTAATTTAATTTAAAAATTTTAAAGGAAAATTTTATGCAAAAAATCGTTAATAAACAAGTTGAAAAACAAGCAAAAAATTCGATTTTTTTTTATTTTTTTGCCTCTAGCATTTTTTGAGTAAAGATAGGTATAGGCATTGCTTCATAGAAAAAAAGTGGATCAAATTTCCTTCAAAATAAGAGGTTGTAAAGTATTTTTGGATCGAAATTGACTGATATATGGCCGCTCAAACTTACAATTAGCCAACTTTTCGATTTTCGTCGCGTTTAGCCTTATACGTTTTAATTATCATTTTTTGCAAAGGACTTCAAGGACTTCATCACATGACTTGTTCGAAGGGTCACTAAAAATGAAAAAAACCGCGGGGTGCTATTAAATTAGAGGGTTGAAATTGAAGCTAGGGGTGAAAATGCACTTTTGCAGTTTTTTAAATACAGCACGAAAACGAAGCAAAATTTCGGTATAGTTCATAGGAAAAATTTTGTGGAGAATTGAATTTTCCATGGAAATGGCTTATTAAAAAAAATTAAAAGAAAAATTTTATGCAAAAAAATCGTTAATAAACAATTTTAAAAAATGCAAAAATGAGATTTTTTGATTTTATTTCCTTTTTTGACTCTAATTTTTTATTTAGTAGAAGTAGACAAAGAAAATTGCTGTACAAAAAACCTAGATGAGATTCCCTTCAAAATGATGCGTTTTCAAAAGTTTTTGCACTAATATTGACCGAGTTATAGTCGGTAAAACTGAAATATTTTTTAGATTTTCGTCGGTTTTTAACATAATGATTATAATTTTTATTATTTTTACAACAAATTCTTTACTTAATAAAAAATTATTTCAAAAGTTTTATTTGTTAATAATAAATAAAAATTTTCACAACTTGGAATAAAAAAGTAGAAAAATTAAAAAATCGAATTTTTTGCTTTTTCTTAAATTGTTTATTAACGATTTTTTGCATATTTTTTTTAAAATTTTTAAATAAGCCATTTTGATGGGAAATTCAATTCTCTCAATAATTTTTCCAATGAACTATAGCAACATTTTGTTTCGTTTTCGAGCTACAATTAAAAAACTGAAAGAGGTGCATTTTCACCACTATCTCCAATTTCCACTCTCTAATTTAATAGCACTCCACGTTTTTTTTTCGAAATATTTAGAATTATTCAATTTTCGTGGCTGAAAACACATAGGTATTGAATTTTCGAAACCGAGGGAGTTGCACTAAACAAATTTGGACAGGACATAGCTAATACAATATGAAATATCGCCTTAATGTTAAAAATGTTGTCACAGCCGTTCTTGGCGGTGAAAATTCGAAATATTTGGAATTATTCTATTTTCATGACTTAAAACATACATAGGTATTGAATTTTCGAAACCGAGAAAGATGCACTAACCAAATTCACAGCGTAAACAACTTCAAGGCATATTTCTAGTCCAAATAGTCGTACCTGGTACATTAAAATTCAATAAAAGGTATCGCATAGCGTCAATGTAATCTTTAATTCAATGAAAATGTACGATAAGTGTCAATTTCTCCAATTGCTAAAACAAACAGACACCTATATGTAAACAAAAGTCGCCGTTCGTCTCATTCTCGCAACGTACCTGTTCAGATTTTATTCAAATTAGTTATTTCTATCTAGTCTGTGCGAGAGAAAACTTTGGAAATATATTCCAAAACTATTTTGCTCTTTCCTTTCGGTGTGCTCTTCTAAATTACATCCGCAATAATTCTGGAAGGAGGCGCGTAAGTTCTGTCCTTTTTAGCAAAGTTTTAATAAGAGAAGCTTACTGTACACCGGGGAAGGAATATAATTAAGACTTTTAATGGATACAGTGCAGGAGGAAAACAGGTAAGGATTTTTATCATTTCGTGCTAATTTAAAATAAACGATACAACTAAAAGTAAATTTTTAGTACAAAGTTTGTAATTACGATCCGCCCATTCATCAGTTTTTTTCGCGGGATGTAAGTCAACTCCGAAATTACAAATAAAATGTCTGACTGTCTTTTTGGTTCAACAGAAAGTTTGTTAATTTTGTATCTCGTGTCAGACGATTTTTCGAAATGTTATAAAAACCTGGGATTCAGCTGATTTTGAAAATTACTTTCCTTTAGAGGATATTGGTCTGAAATCTATTGAAGCTTTTTGTAATTTGTAGTATTTGCTTCTGTGAAAATTGCTTAAAATCATATTTCTTAAAGCGCTTTCATTCATGAAATCTCCCATTGTTTTCTTTAATACGAGTACTTACATTTTCTGCTGCCTTTTTGCCACTAAAACTTGTTGCTTCTCTTTGTGAAAATTCTTCTTCCTTTATCTTATCGTATTACCTTTTTTTGCATACTTTTGCATAATTTTTTTTTTCATTGTAGATTTTAATTGGTTAATGCTCCTAAATTATTATATGTATTAAAATTGTTACTTATTCCGTACTGTGATCGAGCAACTACTTTAGGTGTGGTACTTCTAAATCTAATAAAAACCATTTTTCACTACTAAAGATTTCCATAAACCCTTACCTATATAACATACCCTTAGAAAGAAGGTAAAAGTTGTAATTTTCCTTTACAGTGTCTTTTATTACGCGATTCCAGTAACTTAGGATAACTGATTGTTTAGACAATGTTCCTAATTACAAATTGAGTTAAGTATTAATTGAACCCTTGTATTGTGGGGTGTACTCTTACTGGGTGTGTGACTTCTAGGGGTAGGAATTACTTATTTAGATTGTGCGCAACTTGAAACGACCCTCCAAAATATATATGAGGTCAAGGGTAGCTTGTGGACATACACTTCTTTGAGGGAAGGTCTTAAACTAATCTTACACAAATTTAATTTTTGTAGGAAATGTAGGTATACTTTTTATAATTCATCCTTACAAATATTGTATTGGTTTACGTCACTAACTACTCTTTAAATTTTCAGTTTTACATCGACTGACGTAAGCAATCAGAGAAAAAAAATAAGTATTCTAAGTATTAAAGCAAACACAGTAAAAAAATCGTAATGTTTGCTCATACTCCTGATATATTTTTTAGACATTAGATTCTATTCATGCAAAAATAAGAAAAAAGTTCTAATAAGCACAGGTTCCAAAATGCTCCTACGGGAGCTGTTAAACGTACCCATAAAAAAGTTGGGGTGGCTTCTATCCCCACTCTTCAAGGGGCTGTATGTCCCTTAGAAAGTATTTTCAGGTCTACGTTTATTAGAACTTTTTTCTTACTGTTGACAGTAGAGTCTATACGTAAATTACATTAATTTTGAGAGATCCGCAATAAGCAACTAGCGATTCTAAACGAGGAGAGTATTTTTTTTGAAGACGAATAGAGACCGATTATGTAAAATACGACTATATTCCAGTTCTCCTGAGAGACCTTTATCTCACGGGGAGCATAGAGAGATGCAGTATCTTCAAGTGCCAATGGTACCACCCCAGATAATACTACCAAACAACGAATCTTTTTCGGTAAGCCGACGCAGTTCCGAACATGAGAGTGCCTTGTCCTCCAGGAGACCTTCTGCTATTATAGCAGCTCTCAGAAGGCCATCTCAAGCCATGGCCTTGTCAGCTGCACAGGCTGTTATGCACCAGAGGCGGTATCTTCTTGGGTAAGTAGATCTTTTGCCGAGTATATGTTTCTATCGTTACAATATTTCTAGATTATTCAATGGTCAGAGTGAGGGCTCTATTAAGAAGGATACGGACACGAAAGAAGATCGGATCAGAAGAAACAACAGAAAGCTTGGAGAGTAAGAAACATTCAATTACAAAACTTGCTTTAAAAATATCGTTGTTGATTAGATTTACTTTTAGACTTATATCTTTTATTTTATTCTGAACTTACGACTTTAAACTTTGACGTAGTTGCACCAGGTGATTTTGTCTCTTTTTAGTGACTCGTTGACGATAATTCTATCAGCTTTGTACGCCAAACTCTTAGTTGTACTAGGAATGGCGTTTCCCATTACCGAAATTATATCTAAAGATGTGCAACCGTTCTTTTATCAGGGATTTTATTTATATCTCTATTTAGGGAGTATTTCGTTTGTGGCCTATATGTATGCCTCTCTAATAAGAGAAAAAGCTGTGGAGGATCTTATTAACTCCTATAGTAAGTATTTATATCTATTATATTTCTAGAATCAAGTACTAGGTAGGTATTATTTGTTAAAAAATTTTGTACACGTTAGTTTGTTAGTTTATTTTGTTTATCTGTTTTATTTTATTTAATTTGAAAAAAATATATATTTATTTTGTAGACAAAGAAAAATCAGATCCCTTAAGAAAACAACACAGGTCTGCTGTCAAATATGGAAGCTTTTACTTACGTCTAGGAGCTATAGGCAAGTGATGATTAAGTTATTTATTTGTTCTATAATTTAGATGGTACTGTTTAATTAGATATTTTGCTGTCCGTTAAAAAATAACATCAATGAAAGAGGATATGTTACAACAAAAAACAAATTCCGCTCTGTTATGAGCGAAAAATATTGTAACATTTATTTTCAAATGTAAGATATGTTTTTTTTTTAATAAAAGGCTCTATATGTTTGTATAGATTAGTGAAATATAAAATTTTTCTATGGTAGTATTTTTTCTAGATAAGACTTTTTAATTCACATAAAAAATTGGTTTTTTCTTCTTATTGAACAAAAAATCTTTTATTAACATAAATATTAATATAAAAAATCATAATCAGGCTAAAGTTTAAGACTAAGATTTATGAAAATATTCACAAAAGAGTTTTTTTAATTAAAATTATGGAAAGACTAAAATCTCTCCCTATTTTATCTGGTAACTATGTAGATACAATAAGGTCGTTCCTATTTCACTTAAGGATGACTTTTATCAACGTCTGACAAACCACTTCACACAAATGTCTGATACTTAAAAGTTCAAGGATAATAAATAATTCTGATTTCCCTTAGGAGTGATTGAGGCGGCCCATAGTGGGCGACACCACTCGTCAACTAGTCGTCTACTTCAATAATAGTTTAGATCAGCGTTGGTTACAGATACCGAAAATGATTTTAAATGTTTTAAATGTAGCACATTGGAAACAATTGTTGTTTATATATAAGTTTATTGTTTATATTGTCAGGTTATTTATGAAGTCACACCTAAAAATATGGTGGATAAAAGTATAGCTTACCGAATTTGAAAGTTAAAAAAATTTAAAAAATTCAATTAAAGGCAGCTTTCAACTGCAGTTCTAGTTGCTATAATTGTAATGACATGTTTAAGTAGTATTAGCTGCAATAGAATCCGCTCAAATAGTTGTTAACAAACCGCATAGTATGGAAATAATAATTACCGTCGTCCTCCAAACAACAACAATAGTTGTAAATCCCCTCTAACTACATTTCAATAACAAATTCATGGATGCCTTGCCCAATAATCCTGCGATTAAACATAGCCAACCATATCGATTGACTTTGCAACCGGCAGCAGGCAGGAATAAATATGATTTAATGAGACGATATTAATATGCCCCTGCTGAGTGTCAAACCTCAAATTATTCATTGGAATTCTATAATTATCTGAATGAACAGTAATTGCCATGCATATTGTAACTTGTGCATTATTTGGGAAACTAAACATTTTTTGCATGATTGCTATGTTGGCATAATTGTTATTGATACTTATTAATTATAATTAGTAATGATATAATAAATAATAATATAATAAAAAACAAGAAAAATACCCCTGTCCACGTCCTGTACATTTATAACTACAGGAAATTAAAATTTGAAGTAGAGATTGGCAATCATTTTACTTTTCTGTTCTGAATATACCAAAATTTCGTGACATTATTACTTGGCGAAATATTGCAGAAATATTAAACTTATTTCAAATTGCCTTGCTCTTGGATTATAAGAATTCATTGCGGACCCTTGGTATATTTAATTGCAACTACGGCTCATTTTAGCGGAGTGTACTTCCAGTTTTTTACCTTTTATAACTTAATTGTTAGTATCGATTAGTTCTGCTCGAAATGATACGACGAGCTAGCGCTACTCACTCGAGTTTTCAATGGCATTGTTGAGGAAATATTCATACTTTTTGCAGGGGCTTCAGTGAATCCACAGGGGGGAGAATTTTCTATATACAATGTTCTCTATTGTGAACATTATGAATAAAACATGAATCAGTAATTGCTAAGCATATACTTATTTTAATAATTATTAACAGTGCTGTTGTTTCAGCTTTCGGGATAGGCAGTATGGTTTATTCCGGTCTCGAATTTGGACGTTACTTTGAAGTTAAGAACAATCTTGATTGCCATTCTAACATCTTAGAGGCAATATGTCCAGCTACTAGGATGGTACTAACTTTGGTTCAAGTGCAGTTTATATTCCTTAATAGCAAGGTACTTTATGATTATACAAATCATAGATTCATATAAACTCTGTTTAAAAAAATTGACTAATGCTCAATGCATGGAATGAAAACGTATTACCATAAATATGTACAACTAATAACATTGTGGGAAGCAACTTCTCTGCGGACTACAGCTCCATCCAGATAATTCGTCAGCAGAGTATTAGTTCTCATTGGTATGCTATAGGTGAGACCACGACCAATGACTTTTGGACTGTTTGGATGTTGATCTACCCAGATGTTTCGAGTATGAGGAGATATAACTGAGAAGTGTGTTATATCTGTTGCCTCATTCAGTACTGGATAAAGCTGTACCCAGCAGAGTAGTTGTTTCCCACAATACCATTAGTTAAAAGCCTAACACGGCACTAGCCATGATTTTTAACAGCTACAGATTAGTAGGTTGCTCTCTGATAGTAAGTATAAGATAATGTTTTGTGCAGTGACAATTATCACAGCCCCACAAAAAAAGGTCAAACGAACCTCGGATTCGGATTCAGGGACCTCGAAAATGTAAGGATATAGTAGTCTAGTCCGATGCACAGATATTTTTTTGTGGGGTGTATGTTTTAGATAAAATTTTATGTGGGAATTGCAATAAAACTTTTTATTTTTCTTTAAGGACGTCCAGTTCAATAGGCACAAAATTATTGCAAGGTTTGGTTTGATGCATATGATAGCTACAAACTTATGTGAATGGTTGTATGTGTTGGTTGAAGAAACAAAGCATGAGATTATCCACCTAGGAGGTAAGCCAGTAATAAATTCAATTGATTCCTTAATCCTGAAAAATTTCAGAATTTTTATATCAATCAGATTTTTGCTGAAAAAACGATTGTCAGTTAGCGTACTATCAATAAAACTTTGGGCTTAACATTTCTTTTGGTAAATGGAGAGCACGAAGATTACATTCTGTATTAAACAATGCCCCAGGATTAAAAATTAGCAACTAACCCAGTGTTGAGAAAATGATTTGATTTTAGTAAAGCTTATTTTGCTACAAAATATACTATTTATGTCTTAACCATTCGAAGAAGCAAGTTGTAACATACTGACAATTGGTATTTTTTGCAAAAATAGTGCCAGATTAAATATGCAATATTCAAGACAATTTTACAATTTTTTAAAAGTAAATTGTTAATGTTGAGAAGAAATTACATTTATAAATATTTTCATACATTTTTTTAGAACAACAAAATACGACAAATTCGATGATCGGCAAAAAATACTGCCAGGAGGGTGAGGTGATGGGCTCCCTGGTAATTAGCGCGAGCCCATTCCTATTCCCCTGCACGATTGAATACAGCCTCATATGCGCCGTCATACTTTTCGAGATGTGGAAGAGGGTGAAGGATATGAATTTGGATCCAAGCAGCGACAAGGACAGCAAGCCAGGCGCTAGGACTACTAGCAATGTCCAGAGAGACGAGAGGGTCGCGACTCATTTCCATTTCAGTTAGTATCCTGTTTGTTATATACATATACTAATGGTTTGAAAAGTGCTTTTTCTTTTTTCATTAATTCTCCCCCTTCTCTGCTTTAGATCCTTTTGGAGGTCGAGTGGTCAATTCTAATCATCACTTTACTGTGGACTGTTCAAACGCTCATAGAGGTCTTTTTGCTGGCATTATGGTATGTTTGATGGCGAAAATGTACTGTATATAAAAGTTTACCGAGAACAGTACGAATTAATTATTTTTCATTTTACTGCTATTTTTGCTTCTTGGCATTTTTATTTTTTTTAGGTCATTGTGCTCACGATTATTTCCTTAATCATGTTCTTCGTACTAAGTAACGCTGCACATAATGGCATTCAGAATCACAGAATGGCAGAATTTGAAGTAAGCATGGTAGAACTGATGTTGTACATTATCACAACCGTTGCTGTAGTGGCAGCTATGATACAGCTGAGGAAACTGAAATATGATCGCAAGATAGGTACGCTTTTAATAAATATTTTTTATTACTTTGAGTGAAGTTATCTTTCTTTATACTCCAGTCGGCAGAGGCCGAAAAGTTACTGTTGGTGACATTTTCTTGATAACTCAGAAATAACTGCACAGGTCTACTTTAAATGATGAGTACAATAACAGGCCAATTTGCTGACAAAGTATTTTATCAGGAAAAAAAGTTATTAACAATTTAATCGTGAAAAAAATTTTTTTTAGTAGTTTTCTTTAAATAACTCAGCGGGATGACTTTGTACGAAAAAATGCTGAGGACATGATTTTGTTCTTAATAAAAATAGCTACAAAATGGCGGTGGTCCGATTACGAAATTTGCAATAACAAAGCCGTGAGATTGAAAAAACGGTATAAAACGCCAATTTTTTTAAGTTGCTGTAAAAATGTCAATTATAAACAAAAAGTGATAAAACTTTCGAAAACTATAGTTCAATATATATACAATAATGACGCTAAAGCCGAAAATCAGGAGAGCAAAACTTTTTGCTCTATAAGGTGTTATACATTCATCGGCATCTGAAACTCGAAACTTTGCCAAATTTGTTCGAAGCTTTGCTGACACTTGAAATTTGGTACACACATAGTGTAAATATGCAGAAACCAAAAGCAATTTGCAAAATTCAAGTATCTTCATTTTTGCAGTTTTGGTAAGGTTTTATACGTCACCCTAGTTTTATACGTCACCGTTTTTTTAATTTTTGGACGTATATTTATGTATATTTATAAAATATTCCATTACGGTAGATTAGCCAGCATAATTACCTACAATTTAAAAAAATATATATTTTCATCGTTTAGATCCTAAGCTACTTAACATTTTGCGCCTGTTAGCCATACTCGTACATTATTCAACATATCAACATAAAACAAAAACGTACGTGTGGGGTAAACCTTTAACTTTAAGTAAACAATTGTTTAAATTTACTGTTGCATATTTCTAATAGTATACAAGCGCCGAAGAGCGGAGCTCGCGCTCGAAAATGAAAAGTTAAAGGTTTACCCCACACGTACGATTTTGTTTTATGTTAATATGTTGAATAATGTACGACTACGGCTAACAGGCGCAAAATGTTAAGTAGCTTAGGATCTAAACGATGAAAATATATATTTTTTTAAATTGTAGGTAATTATGCTGGCTAATCTACCGTAATGGAATATTTTATAAATATACATAAATATACGTCCAAAAATTAAAAAAACGGTGACGTATAAAACTAGGGTGACGTATAAAACCTTACCAAAACTGCAAAAATGAAGATACTTGAATTTTGCAAATTGCTTTTGGTTTCTGCATATTTACACTATGTGTGTACCAAATTTCAAGTGTCAGCAAAGCTTCGAACAAATTTGGCAAAGTTTCGAGTTTCAGATGCCGATGAATGTATAACACCTTATAGAACAAAAAGTTTTGCTCTCCTGATTTTCGGCTTTAGCGTCATTATTGTATATATATTGAACTATAGTTTTCGAAAGTTTTATCACTTTTTGTTTATAATTGACATTTTTACAGCAACTTAAAAAAATTGGCGTTTTATACCGTTTTTTCAATCTCACGGCTTTGTTATTGCAAATTTCGTAATCGGACCACCGCCATTTTGTAGCTATTTTTATTACGAACAAAATCATGTCCTAAGCATTTTTTCGTACAAAGTCACCCCGCTGAGTTATTTAAAGAAAACTACTAAAAATTTTTTTTTTCACGATTAAATTGTTAATAACTTTTTTCCTGATAAAATACTTTGTCAGCAAATTAGCCTGTTATTGTACTCATCATTTAAAGTAGACCTGTGTAGTTATTTCCGGGTTATCATGGTTTGACACACGCCCAACCTCTACCAACTGGACTATTAATGTTGTTGGAACGGTTGATATTTTATTTTTATATTCTCAGCTTCTCATTTACTTCACCTGCTCCTTTAACATTTTTTCTAATGAATCTATTCTTTAACTTATTTTAGAAATAAGAAAAAAGTCCAATTTATCTCACAATCCTTTATTTTTTAAAAAGACAACCGGTTTCGAAGTCTAACTTTACACCTCATCTTCAGGTCTTACAAGGATATCACAATTACCGGAAAATTTAACCAATTACTATCCAAGAACATATTAGGATTTAGATTAGATAAGTTTTACTTTTTATAAAAACAAATTTTTTAAGACCAAATACAAAACGACGTTACAAACAGGTATATTAAAATCTAATCTATTCTCTTTACCCATTATTTTCTGGATCTATGTCTTCTTCTAACCGATTTTTGTATAGTAATTTATGATCTGATTTATGATCTTGTTCTGTGTAAGCTGAACTTTTAGCAGAATCAGTACATTATTTCGCTACGTTTCCCTTTTGTTTACTTAAAGGAAGGCTCATCTTTCTTTTTAAGTCACATTTTAAGACTTTTCGATCATGAAGTCCAATCTCGTTCTGTCTAATGTTACCTGTTGAGCATCAGTACTGATATTCCGGTATCACTAGTATTGGTGGGAAAGTAAGTTTATCTCTCTTTTCTTTGCGTTCGTATCTCAGAAAAGACAAATATCCGTTTTAAATGGGACACCCTGGATATATACTTGTTATATTCCTTAATTTGTTGCCTACAAGAGAGAATTTCACTTGACTTCTTTGCAGGCAACTTTTATTAAAACCATTTTTTTTTTATAAATTTTGCAGTTGCAGAGTTACAGAAGAATCTCTCTTGTGGAACTCACTGTAGATATGGAGTAAATAACAGTAACTTTCCTAATTCTATATTTTTTAGATAACGAGGGATATACTGGAATCGGCTTGGACAATACGCTGCTCGTGGTGGCGCAGACCGGCATGTTCATCTACTGCATGTTCTCCCTCATCGGCTGTTACTTCACCATGGATTCCCAGAGCCCAATAGGCTTCGCCGCAGAAATATTCTCCTTCATCCAGACGTGCCTCCAAACTATGTTCGTCTTAGACGGTTGGTTTAGGAGGTGCAGGACTATCGAGCAAACGAAAACAAAACCCGGAAGGGAACTCATAACCTTCCTCATAGTGGCAAATATGGCCATGTGGACCATCAACACGCTGGAGAAGAACAGAGCTGAGTTCCGACCAACTCATCTACAGTTCTTTGGGGAATGGGCGTGGACCATCATCACGCATATTTCCATGCCTATGGCCATATTCTACAGGTTCCACTCGACTATATGTTTGTTCGAAATATGGAAATCTTCATACAAAATTAAGACGCATTACAAACCACATATGTTCCCTCTCTTGTAGTTATTGTGTAGTTATAGTCTCCTGTGATTAAATTTGTTTTAATAGAATTGCGAAAATTTGTGAGCAGTAGAATATGGTTAATAAAACATACATTTCAGTGAAATTTTGTTGTTATTTTCAGTAATGAGCTGTTTTTGGATAACAATGTAATTTTGATACATTATGTAAAATAATAAAAACTTAAAGCGTATGTCCCTGTTACTAGACAAGACAAAAGGTTATCAAGTTTTGTGTTCCAATGGTAGATACGATAAATATATTGGTAGATCTCCAGTTTCAGAGGAACTTCCGTCTCTCGAAATGTCAAGAGTTATAAATCGACGATGTGGCAACCAGCCCTTTATGTAGGAATATTAAGGAACAACATTTTTGTTTGTCAGAAAAGCTGAGTTATGAAAATCTATCCAAAAGTTGCTCTTGAGGTTATCTAATAGGTTCACTTTGTGAATTAATTTGTTATAAGCAGACAGAACGATATTCTCAGTATGGCCACAAAGTTCATTTTGAGTCGAATTTTACACCCGTATCAACAATTTATTTCACTGTATGCATGGCTTGTTCTTTCAGCTTGTAATTAAAGGGTGTGATTTTTCCTGGACTAACAGTATATTACTTTTGATAACATTCAAAGGCAATTTATTCAAATCGCACAAGACATTGGCCCCATCTAAATTGGTAATAATTAGTGAACAAATTAAAGAAAAAGGCCCAAGATGGAACCTTGAGGAGTATCTGTATCAGAAAGTTTCCGTTTGATTTTGTTAATCTAGGCCAGGAAATATAGAGTTGGACGCGATTTTTTGTTTCGACAAGCTGAATTTATCACTATAGATGCTAAATATTATGTACAATAATATATTAGTCTCCACAGTCATAAAAATGGGGGGGGGAAGATTGTTTTACGTAAATTCACGTTTTTCGCTTATAACTTTTTTCCATTCATTTGTTTAACAATATGCCGTCAACTTTGACAGTCTGTAACTCCGTTGTTTTTCAACGAATCTGGACGATTTTTTTTTGACTAAAGCTCTTTTCATAAGCATTATAAGCATTCCGAGTATGTAATAATATATAACTATATCACGCGGGTGCGTCATATATTTCATTTTTCAACTAAGGCTAAAAAATAAACAAAATTCCAGGTTGCAAATTTGAAATTTTTAAAAAAAAATGATAGATTTCAATGTATAATTATAAAATTCTACCATGAAACAAATCAGTGCGATTGTGGAAGATGCTCGGGAACGTCCAGACTAATTATTAGTTAATTTGTTTATAAGGCCATAATTTGTAAACTATTCAACTTACCGATACCAGATTTCGTGTGAGTTATTAGACAGTGATAAGGAATGAGACGATGCGATGCAAAAAAGTTCTGATAATAATAACGCAGTTTATAAATGTTTAATTCAAAAGTCATAAATATGCTTCTTCTGTTTATAACTTTTGATCTAAACAATATTTTTTGGCGCTCGAAGGCTAGTTTTGTAGATCTTTTGAAGACGAAAAAGAAAGTACTTTACTGTTTTCTCGTGGAAATGAAGGGATAAAGTTATAAGTGAAAAACGTGAATTTACGTAAAAATTATACAATTAACCAGCCTGTAAATAATCTTCCCCCCATTTTTATGACAGTGGAAACTAATATGTTATTGTACATAGTATTTAGCATCTATAGCATAAATTCAGCTTGCCGAAACAAAAAGTCTCAAAATGGTCATTTGCCAGCTCTTTTTGGCTTAAATCATATATCTAACTACCATACATAAATTCAAACTAACCGACAATGTGCTAAGAACTGTGCAATCTGCAAGATTTCCAACGTTTATCCATTCTATCCCTGCACCCTTGAATAAAGGTTATTAAATTAATCATATCATTATCACAGCAAGATGAACATCTATGTGTATCTAGAGAGAAACAGCCGAAGTACACATCGATGATTTCATTCGGTTTAAATAGAATTTGGCTCACTTGGATTACTTAGATATATGAATTGTGAAAAGCCGTTGAAAATGTGGTAATAATTAAGCAAACAGTTTCAGTGCAGCTAAGTTCGTTGGCTGCGACGAAAATTTAGGATGCCGGAAAATGGATAATAAACATTCCCTGTAGTCACACTCGTGATGTTCTACGTGTGTTTTCATAATATTATCAGTATGTGGAATTGGAAATTGAATTACATAAGAAATTTATATATCAATTTATTTTATAAATGATGTTTGGTAGTACTCTAAAAAAATTGAGATAGTATTTATACTTTATAAGATTTTGTATAGCTATCATTATGCTTTCATAACATTTAAAAAAAAGTCATCCTGTACATTAATATTAAAATTAAACATGACTAATTCCCAATGAATTCCCAATTCCCTTTAGAATATAACAAATAAATAGCACTAATGGAATTTTGATAATCTAAATAAATAAACAATAATTGACACGCTTCCAAATCTTATTTTTTCATCAAACAATTAAAGAATAAGTTTACGTACGTCTATAAAATATGCAAATAGACGGTAAAAATAACTCTTTATCCAAATATTTACTGATATATTTAAAGTAGTTGCAGTAAATGAAATATGTCATACTGTAAATATAAAATATCAACATAATTGGGCTAAAAATATTACATCTTTGAAGACAGACTGTATTAGTTAAAGTATATTAACTGATATACAGGGTGGTACATGCTTAATTAGGGAATTTCACCAAGTTATACAACAAATAATTAGAAGTATCGAAATTAGAAAAATGGTTTACATTTTCTGAAATATCTCAGAGGTATACTGATAAAATTTGACTGATATAATAGAAGTTAAAATTCAAGTCAAAATAAATCAATTATAGTGGAGATACAGTGCTTCAATTCCACTGAAAATTGATTGATTTCTAAGAAACACTTACATTGACTTCTAAGAAAAAGATTTCGTTCATTTCGGTCGAAGAACGAGCCCGAGAATTTTGATTTTTTAATTAATCGAAAATAATTCTTCTACTTCCACAAATGTTCGTTACAAATGTGATTTTAAATATAATGCAATGTGTCAGTCTAAAAAATCATTGGCGTAGAACTTTTGATAGTTTATAAGGAGCCAATGATTTCTTAGACTTTTGACACATTGCACTGAATTCATAATCGCATTTCTACAGAGAATCTCACGAATAGTTTTCGCAGAAATAATAATTTTAGAGTTATATAACTACAATTCACATTCACATGAAATAGATTAGAGATATATTAAAACCTTGATCACCCTGTATAGAATGTGGTCTTTTCTTTGTTCTGCTTAAACAATAGGTACTATATAATTAATACCTATTACTTTTGTAACGTTTTTTGTATGCACAATATGTTAGCACAGCTTCCAGTTGTACATACAAAATTGGGCATTTTGTAAAAATGATGACAAAATACTTGTTATTTTATTTAACAGCTTTGCTAGAAAAATATTTGCCATTATGTAGGTACAGGTTGTCCTTAGGCGAATGTGTCATAATTCAAGGGTAGATTCCCTGGTTGAAAATATTTCGATTTAGACCATGTTAGAGTCGTAAATTTTTTTGTTTTTAGAGATTTTAGGGAAATGCATACATTTTTTGAAATATTAACTTACCGTGACATCGTACCAGAGAAAAATGGGTTTCAATTTATGACAATCACTGGTTAGGGACAGCCGATTATTTGGGAGTATTTTAAAGTAATTAAACATCACTTTTTATTAAGTTTGAACTAAATTGAATCATTTTGTGATAAAGTATTCTGTGAATTTAATTCTGCGGAACCATACTGAAAAAAAAGAAGTATTTGCATCAAATGAGCAGAAAGCTTTAAATGTAATCATTTGCCGTAAATGTTATTCCTGGATCCTTCTAATGACATAATGATGAACCATCAATAAGTCCCAAACTGACCTATGTCTGGTTTGTTTAACTTACGAATGATCCTAGCTGTTGTATTAGGTATTCTGAGTTTGAAACAAAAATATTATTTATTACTGAGAAATACTTATATCCAAACATATTTTTAAAATAAGTATATACAATCGTTTAACCAACACTATTCAATTTTGTATTAAACAAACGATACATTATAATATACAATACAAAACATGTTTCTATAAAATCTATGTAGAGATCATAAAATTAAGAATAGAATTCGTTTAACCGTAAGTATCAAATATTTATTTTAAATGCTGCCCATTTTTAAAGAAAGAAATTATATTTCTGGGTAGAAATTTAAAGTATTTAAATAAATAAATAATTTTCAATTTTTGAAAGAAGAAAATATTTTCTCGCATGCCATACCTTAAATCAAGTGTTGTACATTGTACATTTGAAGCAAGAATACAAATTTAGCACAAAAGTAAATTGTAATTGATTATAATACTCCCATCCCAAATATTTTCTTTCCTGGACAGTGCATTTTAGCAATATGGACAAGTATACAATTTTTAAATTAAATACAGTCATTTCAGATATCCGCGTTTATTATACAAATAAAAAATATATAATCTGACTCCTAATACATTCTACATACCTTGAATTCGATATATTAGTGTAAATGCCATAAATTAGTTGGAAAACGGTCCACCTATCGGGACACAAATAACAAAGTTATATTTATTTGAATAATTATCACCGTTTTGGCACTGTCAAGTTTCATTGTATCACGAAACATGTTACACTATGGACCAAATCAGTCAACTGAGGTAACATTTTAGCAAATCAATTTATAGAGAAACAATTAAATTACTTCTTATTGCAGGACAGAACGATTTCATCAATCCGTGCCGGTTTTGGATACCGAACAATGTTCGGAAGTTGGGTATAGGGCGAAAAGGACGACAAAATGGAGGAGGCGAGGCGAGTAAGTAATATCTTATCTAAAATATGGCTGCCCTTCAATCCCTTTAATGGGTTTGTGTGCAATTTTTTATATATCCATTCTCCTTTAAAGAGTCATTTCGAATGTATTTAAAAAAATGTCAGATGCCTCGGACTCTGTCATCTCTATAATTTTATTTTCAATGCTAAGATAATATTCTGTTATTAGTTTTTATTGTATATAGTACTTTAAAATATAGGTATTAGTTACAGAAAATATCTTTCTATTTTTTTATACTTACTTAGTTGTTGGAAGAATAATTCAAAAATTGAGTTAAGATAATACGTAATTAAAAAAATATATTAATTAAAAAAGGATGGGGTTTCTGTTTTGAAACATTACTTACAATTAATTAATTATTATTGTGTTTCTAATGACAACCTTGTATTTGGAATAAAACGTAATGACATTTTGGCTCTATCTAAATCTTGATCTGTTGAAGTACATATTGATGATTTAGTTTTATATACAGGGTGTTCTGAAAGTCCATCAGAAAACTCCGGGAAGTGATAATAATAGCAGTATGTAATGTAAATTTTTTTCGAATTGTCAATTGTGTACATGTTACAGCTTGTCAAAGTTCAATTTTTTTATATTTATTTTTAAATAACTTATTTAATTCAATTTCGATTAGTCTCTCATTTGACACACCAACTAAGTAGATCAAGCTCTATTGGAGCAATCAGAGAAAACTTTAATTATGCGCCGCTAGAGGGCACTTTACCTAAAACTCAAAAATTGTTTTGTTCATAAGTTTTTTCCATTGCTAGACATTACAGAAATTTTAACATTATTGAAAAGATAAATATTAGAAAAAATTATGTACTCTATATTCAAGTCGGTAAATGTAACCGTTTAGCATTAAATCGCTATTGAAGTTTTACTAAACATCAAATTTTTGATAAATAATGATTATTTCTGTAATCAAGGTGCCATGCTTCAAATAAATGTCTAGTAATTATGGTGTTACGAATTGTAAAACCAGCTTTAGTAAATAAAATATGATCAGTAAATTTATTAACCTTATCTTCTCCACAATGCCGAAAAAAAAAAAAATATAGTGAAAAATGAAACATATTTGTTTTAAACAATTTTCGTTACAATTCGTAATATCATAATTTCTAATGATCGAACTTGAATTAAATAAGTTATTTAAAAAGACTAAAAAATTAAGTTTGACAAGCTGTAGCTTGTAAACACTTGACAATTCAAAAAAAAAATTAATTACACATTGTTATTATTTTAATCCCTAAAATCACCTCCTTGAGTTTCCTGACGGACTTTCAGAACACCCTGTATAGAGTATTCCATAGCAATCACTGAGGTCGTGAACGGACCATTTTTAATTTTCCTGATTTTTTGTATTATTTAGTATCCATTTAGAGTAGTTTTCATGAATTTTTTCAAATTTTTATTTCAACCCTCAAGAAGTTATGATTAATTGAATATTTTTTTTGCATTTTGTTTGTTTTGAGATGTAGTTTTACAAAAAAATATAGACAGGGTGTCCCACCGGGAAATGCGTCGATCGATATCTAGGAAAGTACTGCTCCAAAAAATTTTTAAAATTTGGTAACATGACAATGTCCCTGGGGCAAACACAACTAAAATATCTAGAACTATCCAGCACTTCTAGTTATACCGGAAATCGACATCAACTTCGTTATTTTAAGTGGACACCCTATATGTTATTGCATTCTCGCATTCTACGTGAAATTTGAGGGCCATTTTATTAAATATTCCCTATACCTAGAAGTTATAGAATTTAAGATATTAATATTTAAAAGTAACTCTTTTCAGGAGCGTGATATCAAGTGGATTTTTTGTTATCTGCAAAGGGTACAAGTAACACTAAATGGTATATGGTATACCAGTAAATTAAAACATTTAAGCTGTTACATTTTGATAATTTCAAATAGCTATAACTTTGTTAATTTAAATGGAACACCCTGAATTTTTTTACTCTGTCGTATGCAGATTGAAATTTCCTTTCAAGCCATATAGAGTTACCGTTATTACTTTTATAGATATTTGCAATTTTCTATTTTTTGGATACTCTCATATCAGACCTATCAAATTGGCCATGAAGAGAAGTATCGATAAAATTAAAACAATAAGATCAAGATTACATTAAAACACAATATTTTGTTTCGTCGGTTGTGATTGGTGCAATTTTTCACGAGATTCTATCCAACCAATCAGCAAACGCATTATCTCGAGGTAGAAGTATTGGTTGTTCATTGTAAACGAATCATTAGTATTGATGACTGTTTGTTTTCATTTCAGTGCAGCCATGATACATACGATATCCGTATTTTATGCGAAAATTCTGGTCATTTTGGGAATAGCATTGCCAGTAACGGACGCTATAGCCACTTCCAACCACGACACTTTTGATGTAAGTAAACAATAAGATGTAAGGTACAAAATAAAGTTCACAACTCTAATATATAGTTGCTTAGATATTGCTAGTTTACTTGCAAAGAATTTTGAGCAATTTTGTGTGAATTCCTTTCTTAATTGATACCAAATTATCTTGTAGGTAGACATATTAAGTTCCAAGATAATAATAACAACACTAGGGTTTCTGTGTATTATCTCTATATTATTAGATGTTAGACCGAAGATTAAATATCAGTAAATAAACTTTTATTGTGCTCTACAGTTTCGGTCTCAATTGCAAATGAATTTTGTTTTTAGGGTTTTTATGTCTACTTGTATGTGGGAAGCATTCTATTTTTGCTGTACATGTATGTAATTCAAGTGAAAGAAAAATCTATTCAAGAAAGATGGTTGTACACTGCATATCAAGGTAAAAACATTTAAGATAATATGGTGATGCGTCTACATACTGTGTCAAAATTAAATATTGTGATTTAAATTTCATGTGATCATTGAAGAAAAATTGACTGAAAATGAAAGTAAAGACATAACAAACTTCATGAACACATTTTTATTCTTTAATAAAGATGACCGCATATTTTTTATTTTCGGTCGGAATTTTTTATAAAGACGTTGTCGATTTCTCGGTCCTCCTCCAACGATCCCTATTACTTAAAAAGAAGTCTTTGATGCAGAAGTAGGTCGCATGTTGAAAAGGTTTATATCCAAAATCCCTCCATAACGAAGTACCCGGTTATTTTATATTTATATTTTGTTTTCAGAGGGATCTAACGAGCCCAATGAGGGACAGCGTCTGAAACGGAATTCGCATGTTCGTTATGGTAGTTTTTACTTTAGGATGGGAGTAACAGGTAATCATGCCAACTTATTCCGAAACAATATACCCGATTCTCCTGGATCAAATCATCATTCTCTAACTTGAACAGTGACTTATTTCTAAAACGTATTTAACAAACATTTTGATTTTGCTAATTTTGGCTATTTCTAAAATATTTTTCATAAGGATATCTATTTTACTCACATATAGGGTGTCAAAATCATATTACCCTTGAAAAAATATCGGAAGTACCTGCTGTATATAACGAGCGTTCAAATAAAAACGTGGTCAAGTTGGTTTTGAAAATTTGGACGTAGGGCGTAGCGTATAGCAAATGAACTTTAACGTCATCTGTCAAAGTGCTATATCGCCGCTATCAATTTGAATATTTTCGTTTTAAAAAGCGTTTAAAATGGTGTTTTCTCAAGAACAAAAAGTGTTTATCATAGAGTCCTACTTTAGAAATGGACGCAAGATTGATGGAATATAGAAGTATTCTATTGAGGAATGTTTCATAGAATTTCAAAATCAATTTCCCGGCGTTGTTGAGTACAAAATTTTTCAAAGTGCAGTACAGCGTTGTGTTAATGTTTTTCGTGAAACGGGCAGTGTAACAAGAAAAGAAGGAAGCGGCCGACCTAAAAAGCGGACTGAAGAATTAAAAGAAAATGTCCAACAAATAATGGAAAATGCGCCAAGAACTTCTGTACGTGTTTTATCACAAATGGTGGGAGTATCAGTCGGTACCTGCCACACAGTGTTAAAAAAAGATTTGCGTTTGTTCTCCTATCGTTTAACTTGTCAGCAAGAACTTCATGAAGTTGATTTTCCGCGACGGGCTGTATTCTGTGAATGGTTTTTAAACAACTACGGTGAACTTCATAATATCACCTTTTTTTCTGATGAAGCCTGGCGAGACGATGAATATGTTGAGGGAAGTTTTCCAAAATCGACTAATAAGTCTCAATGCTGAACATGAATTTCCAGGTCATGTGATATTACGCCGTGTGATTTCTTTTTGTGGCCTTACCTTAAAAACATTATTTTTGAATTGCCTATTCCTGATTTAAACCATCTGCTGGCTCGACTTCTAGACAAGATTCGTGAAATTAACAATACCCCGAGCATCTTAGAAAATGTCTTTAATTCTCTGAGGAACAGGTGTGAAAAGTGCTTGGAACAAGGAGGGGGACACTTTCAGCAGCTGCTTTAATTTATTGTTGTAACAGGGAGGGGGACACTTTCCGCAGCTCCTTTAATTGTTTGTTATTGTTATCACGATTATTCTTTAAAATAAAGTTATATAGTCATTAACGTTATTGAAACTGACAGCTGCTATACAGCTCGTTGAGAAATGAGGTTAAGTTGGTCGCTATAAGCTACTCCCTACGTCCAATGTGTCAGAGCCAACTTCGACCACGTTTTTATTTGAACGCTCGTTATAACCCCACTATTTATCCAAGAGGAATTCATCCAAAAATTTACCATGTTAGTAATTTCTCATATCAAATACCAGTGTCTTAGATATGTGAGAAGAGGTTAATCTTTTTGTTAAATATTAACTTCTACGCCTATGACTTTATTAAAATATTTCTTGGAATATTATTAATATTAAAACAATGTATTTTGCAATAAAATTGCTCTTGCAAAATTTTCCTATTTTTCTTACATACATTAGTGATGAATTTTATGTTTGTCTTGCGGTACAAATTACAGATTCTCAAAAGTATAGTTTAACAAAAGGCAATAATTAAATATGAACAAGATTATACAGAATATATACAGGGTGAGTCACTTTTTATGATTAGGACTTAGAATCATCGATAGATCTCATCAAAATAATGTCATTTCGAAGTATACATTTTTTCTTCCAAAGGCTACCTTTTAGGGATAGGTATAAGCTCTTGAAAACACATTTTTTTTTGGTTTTTATTTAATTTTTCTTAAACTTTAGAAGCCATTTTTTTATATTTAGTATGAAGTGTACGAATGAGAAGCTCTATCGATTTTATAAATTGTTGTGAAAATAGATCAATCATAGGCGTTCGTAAGGGGTTTTGTAAATCTCTATTTTTAATATAATTTCTACGCCACTGGAAAATTTTCAAAATGAATATATTTTTTTTACATTGCTGTTTATTTTACAGCAGAAAGGTTTCTTACTGTTTTCAAATTAAATGCTTGGTTTTTGAGAAAAATGGTTTCTTATGGATTCATTACAATTAGGTAAACAGGGTAATTAATTGAAGTATGTACGACACTAATTAAATTTGTGATTAAGAAGGGTCCCAGAATATATCAGTTACGTGTTAATAATATTTTAAAATAACATCTAAAACTACTTCTTTATTTTATTACTTAAATAAACTGTTGTAGGTGGCCCAGATTTTTTGAAAAAAAAATCTCATGATCCTTGAAGGTGATTCTTAGAATAACAATTGTTTATACGTATTTTGACATATTTCCTCAGTCATTGATTTTACGTTGCATTATTAAATTGTTATTTATGTTTGTTTCTCAATATTAAATATTTTATTCTGTATTATTTTGTTTGAAAAACTTAACCATTTTACATGTAATGAATCCATAAGAAGCCATTTTTCTCAAAAACCAAGAATTTTATTTAAAAATAGTAAGATACCTTTTTGCTGTGGAATAAACCGCAATGTAAAAAAAATATATTCATTTTGAAAAATTTCCAGTGGCGTGGAAATTATATTAAAAACAGGGGCAATCAGAGGCCCTTACGGACGTCTATGATTGATCGATTTTCACAATAATTTGTAAAATCAATAGAGCAATTCATTCGTACACTTCATACTAAATATAAAACAAATGGCTTTCATAATTTAAGAAAAAATAATTAAAAATCAAAATGTTATATCTCTAAAAAGAAGCTTTTGAGATCTATCGATGGTTAACCCTGTATAAACGCAGTTGAATAGTGTAATAGCAAAAATAAATAACAAACAGCAGAAAACTTTGAAGCTTAGGCTTAATGAAGTTCCGACTGAAGTTAAAAACAACATTCTTCAATAAGAAAAGTTGTAGTTTGTTAAAAAAGGAAAATATAGTTCTATTTTTAATCTAATATTTTGGAAACCCGGGCAAATTTTTACAATGCTGCTCTAAAATAAAATGGAATGCAATAGTAATTATGCAAGTATATTTTAATTCAAAAATGAGTTTAATAAGGCGTATTTACGGGAATGGTGATTGCAATGTAGAATTACTGACAGTTTCCCAAGCACTAAATGTAGATTGTACCGTACCAAATTTTGTGAACCTACCATTATGCTTCTTAAATATAAAAAAAATATTTTTATCCAACTTTGGCTATTGCTACTAGAAGAATGTTTCCTTAAAGTCAATTATAACGTATTTATTTTTTTTTTTGGTTCTATAGGGTGATTCACATATGGTGACCAAAAATGAAACCTCGTATTCTTTGACGAATTTTAAAGGTTATTATTTTTATTATTTTACCGATTATATCCTATAAAATTTTTCAGGGTTTTTTCGAAAAACATAAGAGAGTAGTAATTTGTAGAAAATTGAAGGACGAATCCGAAAATATCATGGTTGTTACCGTAAAGCAGTGGCGTACTATTTTATTTAGAAAAATATGCCACCGATACACTGTATCTCCGCCACTGGAGCATGTACATTTGAGGAAAAGCCCTCAGGTTTTGGACAGAGTTTACATGAATACATGCGCCCAATTTCAAATTATTTCACTTAATGGTTTTTAAATTATTTAAAACAATTTAAAATATTTTTTGAAGTTTAACACCCTGTATATTTTTAACGAAGCGTCCTAGATAAAAACTTTATAGGAAAAACTCCCCTTAAAATTCACCAAAGAATTCGTGGTGTCATTTTTGGTAACCATTTGTGAATCACCCTGTAGGTATAATATTATTGTGTACAAAAAACTAGAATTCATTGTATAATTCGATTATTATACTAATTTTGATTATAAAATAAGACCTATAAGAATTAACCTACTTATGCGTTTTAATTATGAAAATTACAATTCGGTGTTTTTTGCAAAGCAGACAATAACTTCCTTCTTTTCGCGTAAAGCTTTAAAATTATAGAGGCAATATTAGCCCACAACTCACAGTTTTAATAATCCCGTCATAAAAACTAACTGCATATTATTTGTTTCCATTACAGGTTTCGGTATTGGTTCTGTAATTTATTCCGCTTTGCAGTTTGGCGAATATTGGGAGCTATCATCGGAAGGGGATTGCGATAATTTGCTGAAAGCAATTAAACCCATGTTAAGGATCGTTTTTGTATTAATGGAAATGTTATTCATATTTTCGCATACAAATGTGAGTACCTACGTGTTATTTTAGGTCACGAAGCAATTCATTAAATGAGAATACCCGGATCAGTAGCGCCACCACGAGACGGAGTAATTAAAGTAATGAAAGCTTGATATTTACCGTCTGCCAAATAACGATCTATAGGCCGATCAAAATAACTCATTTAGACGGAAAAAAATTACTGAAATTACTGAAAAATTCATTGCTGCAAGTCATTTTTTACTGTTTTGCAACTGTGATTATAAATTTTTTTATTTCACCAAAAAGTATATCCGGCAGGACTCTGTACGATGATTTTTTTCAGTAGAATTTTTCTTTGAACAAAAAGTGTTCCAGGACAAACAATATGAATATCTCAGAAACTTCTTGATTTTTTTATCTAAAAAATGAGGTTATTTAAGACAGAGAAAGGTATACTTTCACCAAGTTTCATTAAAATTAAATTATTTTTGCGGAAATATGAAATAAAAAACGAATAATCTGAAAAAAAAAACGGTTTTTCGCATTTTCTCGGAATATTTGAGGTTATGTTAAAAAGTGACCTCTACAAAAGTTGTAGATTTTTGCATGATCTACAACTTTTCTATTGGATACTTCTTTGTTTAACGTCAACTTTCGCCAGAAATCCCAATGATACAATTTTTCATAACTTTTCAACCCCCCAAATCAACCCTCCGCTGACCCTGCTCACGCATTTATTTTTTAGTTTATTATAAGCCCTTTTACAATTTCCACTTATAAAAGTCGGTGTTACAATTTTTTTTTCTCCAAGTGTAATTGGTTGGACTACTAGTAATTTGTGTCGCACTAAAGAAAAATTATTATTATTGTGTAAATAAACAGGTCTCAAATTATGATCTTAAAAACAGTTTTTAGGAGTTATGAGAAGCAAATTTATCGCGAACTTCGGCCTGATGCACATGATAGCGACCAACCTCTGCGAATGGTTCTACGTGTTGGTGCTAGACACCAAAGGAGACATCTACAGGTCAGCGCAAAAGAGACAACAGATCGCAGCCAGGGACAACCAGACCCTGTCCACGGGCGACTTCCAGTTCATAAATTCCAACAGTTTCCTCATAACGAAGAACTTCTACGAGCACAAGTCCAATTGCATGCAATCCAATATAATGGAGCCGATTTTGACCAAAGTTCAGGGATTTCTGTCGCCCTGCACGGTCGAGTACAGCCTGCTGTGCGCCGTGATTTTGGCGCTTATGTGGAAGAATAACTGTGCAAATGACGGCGAGAGAGGTATGTAGGGTTAATTAAAATTTGTCGCAGCGAGATGTTTAGGCCACGTCGTTGTAAATATTTGAGTCAAATAGAAATTTAACTAACCGCTGTAACAGCTCGGGGCCTACGGTTCGATTGGTCTAACTTTAAATTTGTATTTACTCGGCAGCAAGTTTGTCTGCAGACTTCGTAAATTGCTTTCTAAGATATATTTTCTAAAGTCGTACTTTTTATATTATTGTTTTTAAATAATCAATAAACGCATGTTATTTGTTGTAAATGTCAACCTCAAGTTAATTTCAAAAACGTTATTTCAGATTCAATTCAGTAAAGGGAAGGGGTCAATTAGGCCGGGTTTCGGTCCTCTTCAATTTTGGCCAAAAAAATATTTTTTTATTATTTACAATAACTAATCGATTCCACCCCAAACGGGATCAAGGTCAATTAGAGGTCAGATTGAGAATAGTGTATTTTTGGATCTCTGAGTGCGAATTGGAGGTTAGTTTGTCTGTATCAGGTCATTTTAAAGTTTTATTTAATATAATTTTCTTTTATCTAAACCAATTTAACACGACCTAATTTTATGAACATCCAGTACATTTTATCACTTATGTGTATGTTTATGAGCAATGGTGGTGACTTCCTAAGAAAAGCAAATATTTTTTATCATGAATGATGTTTTCTTAGAAAACTGTCCGAGGACACCCTGTATACAGGGTGTTTCTGAAATAAGTGCGTTCCTTGGAAAGTGTGATAGATGGTACCAAAATGAGCAACTTTTGTAACTGAAGGTGTAAATGCTTCTGTTTTCGAGAAAATTAATTAAGAAAATTAACCATAAATGTATGCCGACCCTGTGCATCTTGTGCACGTGTTCGAAAAGAATGCTTATGAGATTCGACAAATGCCGGGAGTATTTGCACGTATGCGGACCAGTGTTGCAAGACATGTAAATATGAAAGTAATAAAGTGGGAAGAAACTTGGTACTCGGTGGAAAGAAAGTACTGATACAAAAGTATTTTATTAATTTACATTTTTATTAACCAAAAAATTCGAGGAAATCCATTCAAAACCCCTCTACTTAATAATAAAGAGTTTGTTGTACTAGGAAGAAATCCATTTTTATTTTTCGTTTTTATATTGTTTAATTGAGAGAAAATTCTCTCTGCACCAGCACTACTGTGAAGCAGACTAATTATATTCATGACAAATAAACAAATATTTTTGAAACATTTTTCTTTTACTCCATTTTTCATATCGAGTACTTTAAATCAAAAAAGTTCGAAGTCAAGCGTTTGTAACTCGCCTTTGATTCTGGTAAATTAGAAATCTCTCCGAACCACAGTACCAGTAACATAAAACATAACCATAACACTGAACAGTAACTACCACAGACCACAGAGTACTACAAAACTAGAAAATTACACCACGACCACATAATATTGTAATCTGTTTTCTGTTCAATGTAGTCCATACTGCTTATATTCAATAAACCACAGAACATTGAACTAACAGAGCTTGCAAATAAATGTATTATGATAAACAAAATACAAAAATTTTTCTTGTAATTCTCTTTCATAGACCGAAACAAAAAAGTATCTCTGTGGTGTTGGAAATCCTAGAAAATCACTAATTTCAGTACTTTAGCACTGACACTGGCAACGCTGATGCGGACTGATTTTGACCGTCATTTGGAGGCATGTTTATTAGCACATGGAAACACCTTTCAACAATTTTTGTAGAGCATATCGTCTGTTGGTTGGTAATTCTTTTATTAGTTTAATTTTTGTATTACCTTTAAACGACATTTCAGCAATTTCAAAAACAAAATTCAAACCATCAAAACCACCATCAGCGATTTCACACTGCGGCGCGCGGTAACTTCGATATCAAAGGTACGGCCCTCTATCATCCTTTTCAACCTTATTTCAGAAACATCCTGTATACAGCAATTCTGAGAAAATAAAGAAAAACATAAATTTTAGTTAGATAAACCCATTTTTGCATCAAAACATGATTAGTTGTTACAATTTAATGCTAATAGAAGAGGAACTGTTTGCTTGTAGTACATTTTTATTACTGTTCAGTGGCAGTGCAACATATTAGGAACGGCAGAAGTTCAAATTTTTTATAACCGAGAACAATCGATAACACAAATTCTAGACGAATGGCGTCTGCCCTATAATGTACTACACTCAAACATTGTTTACCATCAAATCTAATTTTCAGAAGCAACTCAAGACCTTTCAACAGAAATATCAGGACAAAGTGGTTGTAATGTAATTTACGGTAGAAGTCACAGTCAATTTTCCGTCGATTGCGCCCAAGCCCATAAAGGACTCTTCAGCGGGATCCTGGCGCTCGCCGTAACAATCATCAGTTTAATAATGTTTTTTGAGCTCGTCGGCTACAAAGAATTCAAAGACGCCACGGTTTTCCAAGTAAGTGCTGCTAATGAACTTATCCCACATGTAAACTTTGGAAGCCTCGAGTGTTGCATACTTTTATTTTTAAATTATTTAAGTAAAGATAAAGCTAATGACGTTATACTGAGGTCCCATGAAAATAAAGGTACTTGAGTAGCGCAGCGGCAATATAAATTATATTTTAGTTATTAGTTTTTAGATTTTCGCACATTGTAAATTTTACTCAATTCTCTTGTTGCGATGATGTGTAACGTAAAGGACTATAAGGGATTATTTGGAATAAAAAAGTTAGTACAGGCAACTATACCTAGTTCTATTTAGTTAGATTAAATTAATTAAGCAAGTTGTTAACATGGGTACATCTCGTACTTGCGTTTTTCACATGCAAATACTGTAATTGACAAATAGCAATCAAACTTTATAAAACTGAAATTCAGAGGCGACGATATTTTTGAAGAATTTGCAATTCATGACATGATTCGATCGAGGCTGAAATTACATCGCGCGGATTATGTCCACAATTTTTTTGTTCATTATGTTACACGAATGGACTTTATAATGCTTTATGACATGACTTTTTAGTTTTTTATATGTTAGCTCTTATATTTCAAATTATTCTAAAGTGATTTTCAAATAGAAAGTGCAGCAAATGCTGCCTGCGGGGATTGACGGTCTTAGGCATTGCAGGAGCTTGCCGTTCTAATGAGTTATGCAAACTAACTATGGACAACGTCAATTTAAAAAAAAATCGACGGCATTTTATTGTAGTTACAATTCCAGATTCTAAAAATGTATGTCACATACGTTTACAATCACTTCTCGTTTGGTTCTGTTTCCCACCTATAAATTCTCAAGAAATATATCAAGATTAGATTGGAAATCAAAACTGAAATTTTACGCTTTTTTATGCGCTATGAAGCAGGTAGATGTTACACCAGTCGGCAAGAATACCCTTTCTATGATTCCTAATAAGATTGCACAGTTTTTGAAACTAGAACATCCTGAAACATATACATTAATTCAGAAGAACATCGGCAACGTCACTGGCTAATACAGAAGTTGATGTATTCGCAATCAAGAGACATGGTCGGTGGAAATCAGCCACAACTGCAGAAAGTTATGTAGCTGAAAATGTTACTAAATGTAATAACTGTACAATTACTATAAATATTCATTGTATCGCTTTTTTCCGGAGGGAGGTAAAATCCACTTACCTCCTTAAAAACAATGTATTAATAGCCTATTTACTATAGTGGGAGCAGACAAACTTTGTGTTCTTCCTAGTCAGAAATGCATAATAATGGAGCGAGCAATTAATGATCTAACTTATGCAGATGTCACTAATGTCTAATATCATATTGATATTTCTTGTGTCGACCTTAACTGATAATAATAAACATTTCTGTTAGAGAAAATTTTGTAACAAATCAAACAAGTTTGAAAATCTGAACTAGCTATCATAATGTCGGCGAACAAAGCATTTTTGGGTTGAGATTGACTATAAATTCGTTAATTTTCATTTGTGGTACCTGCTGTTGTTGTATGACTACTGTTTTCTCAAACATTCTGTAGGTATTTTACATAATGTATATCAACTCAAGTCCACTTGAATATGTTCCAGGAATATTGAATAGTCGAAGAAATGGCGAATGCGACAGTGATTTAAGGAAATAAAGAGGAATTCCAAATTTGCTTTCGTATTCCTTATTATTTATATATCCCATTTATATAGTAACTGTTGAAGATATATTAATATTAAAGTAAACATGTTCTTATTTATTTTAGTGCATTTGTAGCAGCAACAGTTTATTAAGAGAACAAATAGTCGGCAGAACGTTACTCAACACATGATGTTATTATTTCAATTCGTTTTCACCAAAAATTGTATTGATTTTGAGTAAAAATTTCATACATTGACAATAAAACGTGATTAACATTTTAGACTTTAGAAATTTTAGATATTCTAATTATACAGGATGTTAATGAACTTCTTTCAAATATTTTTGAGGTAAATATACGGATTTGAGTTGAGTGAAATATAATTTTAAAGTCTGACTTACCTCAACATTGCAAGGAGCTACCTTTTGAGAATTGCTGAGTTCTATAGATGTTCGATTTGCTTGTACACAAGCTTCAGTGCGACGTATCCAATTCGCTCGCACGCGTCAGTGCGCCATTTTCAAAAGAAAACTTAGAAATACGGCTATTAAATATACTCTCGAAAAACAACACAGCAATTGACGAATTGATTACGAATTGACTCTTTCGAATACAGTCCGGTTGCATAAACTCGCAAAAAGTGTTACAGAAATTCTTGAAAGTACTCGCCGCCATAAAATACATGTATTTCGGCAGTTCCAAAACAGTTTTTAACACATTTTTAATTAGCTTTTTTCCCGATGACCTTAAACTTCCGACACAAGTTTGAGACATCGGTTAACTCGGTTTTTCACCCCTTTTAAATTTGACATAAATTCATTGACGCCCTGTAGAGTGTTCAGGGTTCTTTAATTTTATTTAAATTGCTGCCTGCGTGTTTTTAGGTCAACGTATGGGAGGCCATATTATTTTGGACAGCAACAATCGCTGCCGTATCCTGCATGGCAGCCTTGAGGGACATTAGCTTTGTAAAAGAAAAACGGGGATTAGAATTGGAACATCTGCTTCTTTTGGTAACGCAATCTGGACTTTTCATGTACTTTCTATTTCAAATAATTGGGGGCTTTCTCATGGGGACCAAGAAGGGAAAAGGTGGAATAATGAGGTAAACAATGTCTGACGTTGGAGTTAATCCATTTCGAAAAGATTTCAGATTAAATTTTCTTTTATTTCGTACATCGCATTTACATGTACGAGAAGCACATGAAATGTTTCCCCAGTTAGTAGTTTAATAACATTTTGTAATTCTGCACCTAACAATTTCGCCTTTTAGAATAATTACGCCTTTGTCGGCTCTGATCCAGAGTTGTTGCCAGACTGTTTTGGTTTTTGATGCCTGGCGGAGACGATGTCGCACGGAAACCCAAATGCGTAAGAAACCAGGGAGGCAACTAATTACTTTTTTGCTTGTTATAAACATATGTTTATGGGTGAGTATTAACCTCGTCATCCACTTTAAATTCTCTTATTTTTAAATTTAAAGCACCTATTAAAGTACAAAGTTGCTGGTGATTTTGTATAGTTAACTTGAAATTATATAGTACCTCTGACGCAACAAAAAAAACGTATCCATGACAGCTGGCTTGGTGACTATGGATAAAAAGCTGGAAATCAGGATCGTAATATCGAAATTAATAAGAAAAGCGTATTAAAATATAAGATACTGGCCATAATAAATATGTATATAATTTTAAAATTAGTAAATTATCAATTTAGAGAATTAATTATAGGTTTATTATTAATACTGGAACATTTTATTGAAATGCAAGAGACAGAAAAAGTTTCTAAGGAGACGAATTTTTAAATGCCATTTTTCAATTGTAAATTTTCAACTCCAACAACAATGAAAAATAAAGTAACAGTAATGATAAGATACAGTAACATCCTAAATTACATTCTCCTTTGTTTCTCCAACTGTGGAAAATAAAACCCCCTTTAAAGGGCTGTAACTCTGCACAGTTTCTGGAAATAAGCATACATAGAAGACTCCCTTCTACCTTTTGAAAAGGTTTTCACAACATTAAAGAATCCTGTATTTGTGATAATTCAAGCTTTTATTATACAGGGTAGCCCATCGAAAACGTACCACAAGGCATTACAGGGTAGTAAAGAACTTTTCGGAAAAATCCAAAAACAGGTCAAATTTGTTTCTGAGGGGGACAACTTTTGGCTCAAAAAGCATACCAAAATCTTCAACCCCTTAAGTGGGGGTGCTATCCCCTAAATTTTTTCAGATGGGAATGGGGGTCAAGTGGGAGGTCATTAGAAAGGGCTTTTAATTCTCTATACATCGATTCTTACTTTTTGAAAATCGATTCATTATTTTAGAAAATATGCAGCTTTGAAAATACGAACAATATTTTTGACGAGAAATGCGAAAATCGATTTAATTTTACTTCAAAACTTACGGTATTAGTCAAGTAAATGCTGAAAATGTTGTCCGCCAACTTGCATACAATGATACAGGTTGTCTTCAAACCGTTGTCGAACATTCTGGAGCACTTGCGGTGTTACTTCGCGACATACATTAATGATTCGTCCTCGCAGATCTTCCAAGGTATCAGGTGGAGTGCTGTAAACTTTGCTTTTAATGTGCCCCCAGAGAAAGAAATCTAAAGGATTTAAGTCGGGTGACCGAGGGGGCCACTCAATTGCACCTCTTCGTCCTATCCAGCGTCCTGGAAACGTCTCATTTAGGTAATTGCGCACATTGAGCGAGTAATGTGGAGGAGCTCCGTCTTGCTGGAAAATCAGTTCGTGTTCATTGTAAGCAGGGTCGTCCTCTATGATATTTGTTAGAGCTGGGTCGATGACATTTTGTAGTAAATCCAAGTACATATCGCCTGTCAAATTTCCAGGAAGGAAAAAAGGACCTACAATGGAATTTCCAAAAATACCTGCCCATACATTCAACTTCTGGGGGTGTTGGGAGTGTGTCTCATGGAAAATCCTTGGATTGGTATCAGCCCAGTAACGACAATTATGGCGATTCACTAAACCATTCAAGAAGAACGTACACTCGTCCGAAAAACACACATTAAAGAGGAAATTATCGTTTATCGCTCGTTCAGTCATTATTTCGCAAAATTGCAAACGACGATCAAAATCGTCTTCATTTAGCTCTTGCACTAGCCGAATCTTATAAGGATGGAATTTGTATTTTTTTAATATTCGTTGGACACTTGTACGACTCACTCCTGTCGCAGTAGCCAATTGCATTGTACTCAGCGTACTATCCATTGCCACTTGCCCCAATACCGCTATTTCCGTAGGTTCATTTAGTACCGGATTTTCAACCTGCCTCTTTTTGTTATGAACGGAGCCAGTTTCGCGAAATTTGGCCACCAATTCGCGAACAATTTTTCCAGACGCATGTTTCTCAGGATGCCGTTGGTTGAACAGTTCGGCGACCCGATTTCCGCATTCATTGTTTTTGAAAAAAAGCTCAATAATTTCTACTCTTTCTGGAATTGAGTACACCATAATTAATCAATTTAAAAGACTCGGCAGTATTGGTACTCTTCAACTACAAGTCACAAGACAGTTATCTAGCAACTTCTTGTGGCCTATCTAAATACGAAACAAAAAGCGGACAATTTTTTGCTCACCAAAATCAGGCTAAAGAATTCGCAAATCAGAAAAAAAAAAAGCGAATTCTTTTGAAGGAATTTACCAAGCTAATACCGTAAGTTTTGAAGTAAAATTAAATCGATTTTCGCATTTCTCGTCAAAAATATTGTTCGTATTTTCAAAGCTGCATATTTTCTAAAATAATGGATCGATTTTCAAAAAGTAAGAATCGATGTATAGAGAATTAAAAGCCCTTTCTAATGACCCCCATTCCCATTTAAAAAAATTGGGGGGATGGCACCCCCACTTAGTGGGTTGAAGATTTTGCTATATTTTTGCGCCAAAAGTTGTCCCCCTCAGAAGCAAACTTTACCTGTTTTTGGATTTTGCCGAAAAGTTCATTACTACCCTGTAATGCCTTGCGGTACGTTTTCGATGGGCTACCCTGTATATTTTCTTCAGCGTGCTGTTTAATAAATAAAAAAAATAACAAAAACTGAGCGCACATAGCTTTTGTAGATATTTTCATAAAATATTTTCACATTACCATACATAAAACACTTTCAAGTTTGGAAAACGGGTCTTAATGGCACATTTTGAGGAAATCTAGACATTTTACTTCATTTGTTATCGAACATAAAAATAAGTGTTATATTTCGTCTTCCGTGTGCAAATAAATAGCAATACACTGTTCCAAAGAAAATTATTGAATGTATGGAAATATTTTGTATTCCATTATCTTAGTAAGGGAAGTAATTTTTCATGAAATCAATGTAATCGTGGATGTAAACTGAGATGACAATGACAATAATTGTCCTTTTTCCGTTTATTTCCTAACTCCTAAACATGGAGAAGAATGGAGTCTATTTTTATTGATATACACTGTGTATCAAAATGTTGGAACAAAATTAATTTTTTTTCCAGTTCAGATTAAAAAAATCGCTGAAATTAGTAAATAGAAATTGTTACTTTTCTGCAACATTTTCAATTTTTTTTATCAAAAAAATGTAAAAAATTGTTTTTATGTCGTACTGACGACTATTTAAAGCAAGCATAGTCTCTTCTGTACTTTAAAAGACGTACCTACTTTTTAATAATCTATTTCTACTTACTTTAAAGCTTTAAAGCTAAAAAAAAACACATCGATAAACACATAAAATTAAGTGAAAAACAGAGATTGAAATTTTAATTATATGATTGGATGCGAAGATACAATCTCATCCATTCTCTCAGACAACTTCAACTTGTCCTCAGTTCACAGAACTCTGAAGCCTCAAAAGTGGCATCCTTACAAAGTTAACGTCTTACAAGAACTATGGGCAGATGATACTATACTATGATACTATGGGCGGAAGATTACAGTTTTGTGAGAAAATTAGCAATTTATTTGAAAGGTAACTCAACTTAAAAAATCACATAATTTTCACAGACGAAACAACTTTTTGCTTAAACGAAACAACGAACAGGCAAAATACTAGGTTTTGGAGCCCAGAAAATCCATATTGGATGCAAGAAAAACATACACAATGGCCAGAAAAAGTCAATGTTTGGGCTGGAATAATAGGAAATCGCATACTGGGACCTTATTTCTTTGAGGGCAATTTGACAGGCGACATTTATTTGAATTTTTGCGTTTTCAGCTGATTCCAGCCCTGGAATAAATTTTTCCTAACCCTAATGAGCTCAATATGCCTGCTGGTGATGTCTGGTACCAACAAGATGGTAACAGACAACCAACATCCACATTTTCGCCTCGATGTAAGAAATTACCCTAATGAAGTTTTCCCAAATCGATGGATAGGCAGAAGAGGTCCGCTTGAACGGCCACCACGCTGCACTGACTTAGCCCCCATTAGATTTTTTTTGTGGGGCTATCTAAAAAGCATAGTGTATGTGAACAGACCAGATACTATCTATCGAAGGATTGAAAAATCGTATCAGAGAAGAAGTTCGAAACATAACACCAAATTTTATTCAAAATGTAATTGATAACTTTAAAAACCGAATTGGGCATTGTGCAATGGTTAATGGGGGTCACTTTGAACATTTTCGTTGTAATAATATAAAAAGTAGTACATACTAAATTATTGTTTTCATTTAATTCCTTAATTTTTTTAAAGACTATGACAGAAAAGTAGGTATATCCTTATATCGCTGAATTCGTCTTTAGACGGATTATCTATTTATGCTATAAAATATAGAGCGTCCTATTAAAAAAAATGTTGGTAATGTTAGATATAGGTCTGTCAAACATAGCTACAAAAAAATAGAAAATATTGCAGAAAAGTGACAATTTATATTTACTAATTGACCTCTTTCGAGATTTGTTAGAATTTCAACTGAAAAAAAATTGAATTTTATTACATCATTTTGAGACACAGTGTATTTGTGTTTTTGGAAAACTTGATCTTATTTAATAAACGAATTTACATGTAAATTTTATTCAGCAACAACAAAAATATAAAGTAGGTAATCATTTCTATCAATTTTTACATTCCCTAATAATTTAAAATTTAATACATTTTTGAGCATCTAAATATAAGTTGCTTTTTTTGGTAGATAATATTTAACGATGGTGTTTAAATCGAGGCATAATTATTCGAAAATACTTCTTAAGTATCTTATGAACACAGGAAGGGTGTAGAATCCATATCGATTGCTTTATATAGGGGACAAATTCCATCGGATTAGAGCTGCTTTTCTCATAAAATGTGGGAGAGGAACAATTGATGTAAACGTTATGTGGGAAAAACAATGAAAGGCATGATGGTAAAGGAAGACTACGGATATGAAAAAACATTTAATGCTTATGTAATATTTTAGGGTATTTGAATTAAAAAATGTCTGTCTGTAGTATTTGTTTGCAGTCTCTGGCATTGTCTTGTTTGTTGGTTTGATAGTTATGCCACAAAAAACATATACGGTGACCAACCAGAAAGTATACAGGATCTTAAAAATAACTGCCTGTTAAAAATCTATAACCATTTTTATAAACAGTAAAACATAGGTCGGAAAAAAGTAAACAATTTTTGCGTATGTTTACCAATGATGTAAATATGCTTTAATTCTACTACTGCTGTTGAAAAAAATAAGTACATAATAAAAAACCATTTGAAATCCTAATATTGATCTACCTGGTCATTAATAAGACATAGGCAAATATTGATGCATATTAACGACCTCTTTATTTGAATTTATTAGGATTTTTATAAAGAAATTGAACTAAAAAACTCACTTAGAATAATATATATAACAGAAGTATAAATGTAAATATTTTAAAACATTTCTGATATAACATTTCTTAAAAGTGTACTTTCTAGAGTAAATTTAGTGACAGCAATTTGCAGCCGCATTACCAATGCGTGTATTGCCCAGTGAACACAAGAACGTTTATATAACGTTATATATAACTGAAAACCGTGATCATAAAATCGTACATGTATAACGTATGATCAACTTTTATATGTCGCGGGAACTAACGTTAAATAGCACCTACAAGGCAACGTGTAATAACAGGTATTATTGAAACTAACATTAAACGTTTATTGTATTCGTATTTAAAACATTAGGAACAACGTTTTATTTAATATAAATATACACGATAAACAAACGTTACTTTATCCATTGCAATTAACATACATCGTAACGTATAATTATACTGATTTTAATACAAACATTACACGTTGACTGGATTTGAACTTAAAACGTCAGAAATTACGTTTTATTTATTACAAATTTAAACGAAAACCAAACGTTATTTTATCAGCAATAATTGACCCACAAGAGAACGTATAATTATAGTGATTTTAATACAAATATTTAACGTTAATTATGTTCCAGCTTTAAACGTCACAAAAGACGTTTGATTTAGTATGATAGTACACAATAAAGAAACGTTATTTTACTAGCTAGAACTATTTTTATTTAAACGTATTATACATACTATAATAATACGTCATTAGATACGTTGTGTCAACGGTATAAATATACGTCTTTAATCCACTGTCAAATACCATTAAAACACGTAAAGAAAACACTAAATGAAACTCTAGAAAAACATTTTATTGAAAAAAGTATTTTCAAACAATAAAAATGACACTAAATAGTAGCTATAGTAAATATAAAATAATGAACAAAAACAATAACAATTGTTAAATTCTGTATGTATTTTAGCAATTTCAAGTTTTATTTGCTGCTCGAGGGCAGTTTTTTGAAACGGTTTTTCTGAGGAAGAAGAGAAGAAGGGTAAGATATCTAACAGAAGCTAAATTTTAAAAAGGAATGTGTAATAATATATTGATAGTATAACAATATACAATAACATAATGAATGCATAATTTAGGTCAGAAATATGGAGGGAAAGTTTTAAAAGCAGGTTGGCTAGAATTTAAAAATTAGAATTAGACTTCAAACATTAAAAATGCTAGAACAGAAGTATCTTTAGATACCCTCAACAAATATTTTGATAATTTGGAAAAAGAATTGGATGGAATACCTCCAGAAAACATTTATAATTATGATGAGAGTAATCTCACAGATGATCCCGGCAAGAAGAAAGTCATAACCAAAAGAGGATGCAAATATCCCGAAAGGATAATCCATTCCCCCAAGTCTTCTACATCGATCATGTTTTGTGGGAATGCAAGTGGCAGTCTTGTATCGCCATATGTTGTTTATCAGGCGACCAATCTATACGATTCATGGACTACCGGTGGAGCACAAGGAGCACGTTATAATAGAAGCAAAAGCGGATGGTTTGATGCCTCGATTTTTGAAGATTGGTTTGGAATTTATTGCTGCCCATTTTGAAGAAACAACCTGGAAGAAAAGCGCTAATTGGCGACAATTTATCTTCACATCTTAGTCCATATGTGATAGATATTTGCCGCGAAAATGATATTAAGTTTATTTGTTTACCGCCCAATACGACCCATCTAACTCAACCGTTGGATGTGGCTTACTTTAGGCCACTAAAAATGAAATGGCGAAAAATCATTGAAGATTATAAGAATAGGCATTCCTGTGTTGTTAATAAGTCACATTTTCCGTCGCTTTTGAAAAAATTGGTTGAAGATTTAAAAACTTCAGGTCCCGAAGCTCTCAAATCTGGCTTCAGAAAATGTGGAATTTTTCCGTGTGACAGAACTCTAGTTTTAGAGCGATTGCCAAGGCAAGACAGAGAAAAATTGCAGAGTAATAACATGCTAAACGACTCGCTTTTGGAATTTCTTGACAAGAAAAGATATGGTGATGGACAGGCAAAAGAAACAAAAGTTGTTAAAAAAACAAAATTGGATGTGCTTCCTGGCAAAAGTGTTGAAAACAGGAATGTCACCGATCCAGGGGAAGGAACCAGCACGATGACTAAAAAAATCGTAGACCAATTTATGCCTGATAAGACAAAAGTAAAGAAAGTAGGACAAAGTAAAGGAAATAAGAAGAAAAATACAAAATCTACCAAACAGCTGGCAGACAGCGAGAGTGATGGCGATTCGTCGATAAGTTACATATCTTTGTCGGAAGGAGAAGGCGACAACTGGATGAAGCCTCCTTCAAATAGTGATTCAGAAACTAATGAAGATCCTGACTATGTCATTGTGAGATATGACAAAAAGTATTTTCCTGGACAGATCCAGCAAAAAAAAAAAATAGTGAGTGCCTTGTTAAACCATGGAGGCATGTGGTGTGCGTTCCTGGAAGTGGCCCGAAAAGGAGGACATTTTGTGGTATAAATCAATAGATGTCATGCAGAAGATTTCTGCTCCTGTAAAACAAAGTTCCAGGAATATTTATGACGTCCCAGAAATGCTTAAATATACAGATTTTTTATATTAGTTTAAGATTGCGACACATTACCTACCTATGTTCTTTTTGTTTTGGCAATCTGTTTTTAAGTTGATTATGTAAAAATATGAATATTCTTTTAAATAAATCAGTCATGAAATTTTTGTATGTTTTAATTAGGTACCTGCCGGAATTTGTAAAACATATACATATATATATATATTTAGTTATTAGTGGCCATAGCCACCTCATAGAAGGGTTCACAATAGTTTAAACGCAAATTAAGTTACTTGGCCATAGTGACCCCAAACCAGGGGGTGAATATGGCCACCCATGTTTTTTTTTAAAAAAGGTTGAAAAAAAATTTTTTGCTCCATAAAAACTCATGAAATCGAATATACATCTATTCTTCCTATATATAAACCATTTTTGAATTGGCAAACTATGCAATTCGAAAGACTGTTGAACTTTCAATATGAAAAGTGGATTATAGTCACCCCGGTTTACGGTACCATTTTATTGTTGTTGGCTTTCTAAAATCTGTCGTCTAACACCCTGTTTGATTCGTGTAACAGCATGCTTTAACCATTCCTTCACTGTATTTGCAACTAACATGTCGCTATGTTCGCGGGCAGGAAATGTCTGCTTGACTGCATCTAATAATAGAAAACAATATTTAGAAAATAATTATTTTATAACAATATTTAATATCTTGATTTACCATAAATTATCCTCATTATTCTGGTGTGTTCAAATGCTTTTTTAGAAAATCGTCCTTTCCAATTGAAATTAATAGCAAGGTCGTTGCTTATTAAGAATTTCATTATTCTACGTGTAATACTTTCTACCCCGGAACCCCCCAATGCTGCCAATCTCCTCACCTGCCACAAAAGAAAATGTAAATAATTAAGAAATTATTACGTACTGACATGTATACTAACCATATATAGCTTCATGGTATCATCATCACGAATTAGGTTTTCTAAATGTAAAAATTCATCCAGTGTTTTCAGAGGAAAAACTGGTAAATTGTCGGGTTCGACTAGGTTTTCCATAGCAATTTTTCTGTGGTACCTTAATATTTCATTCAATGTCAATAACATTTGTGTTTGTTGCGTTTGTAAGTTAGCAACAGCAGACAACATGGTCTCTTCAAACTCTATAAATGATATAAATTTTCATTAAAATAATTTATCTTCATAGCTACTCACTGAGATTTTTTAAAAAGAAATGCAACATATACAGGGGATTTTAAATAAATCATATAGGTATATTATTTTTTTAATTTCCAAAAAATTTCAAAAACCTGCAATTCTTTGAAGAATTAAATGAATAATTGTTACTTGATCTTGCAGAAGGTCCAATAAAACAGTAGTATATTATATTATTATAAATTCCATTAAGCAAATGCTTTTACTATAAAATCAGAAATATTTTCAATTTTCATTGTGAATAAAAACTGAAAAAAGCATTAACTAAGTGACAGTAAGTGATAGTAATAAAATAGTTTCATGTTTATTTTTTATGATTAATAATCAATTATATTTATATGTACATTTTCTTTGTTTTATTACTTAAAAAAAAATCTCATATGAATCATTTTGCAAGTCATTATTATTTAATTCACATACGTGAACTTCTGTAGAAGATCTGATCTGAAAAAAAATGAGATGTTAATAAATTTACCTATATATTATCTAGAATGGTGCTAGTAGAATAAGTGGAGAATATGGCCGTCAATATGTGAGTTTAATATACATCAAATTTTTTTGAGTCACCTTGTATCATAAAAATATGTTTAAACTGTTTTTTCGATATATGCTTAAATGAATAAAAAAATAATATATTTGTAATATTTAGGTAGGCTATTTATTTTCCACCCCATCTGCAATGCACCTTCTAAAAATGGAAATTTGCTCATATTATTATGTACCATCAATAATTACGTTACTGCTTAAAGTTTCGGACAATGCTGATGGTGTCGAATTTCTTCCGTTTGGCGTTTCCAATTGCTTTGGAATTGCGCTTGGACAGTTAGGTGTGACTGAAGTAGTTGGGGCTTGCCATTGTGTCAAATTGATATTCAGCATTTCTGTTTCGTTATGAATCGCGTTTGGTAAAATATCAGTTATGACTGCAGCGGTTGAAGATCCCGATTCTGTAAAATGGATGTTTAATAAAAAAATATTGAAAACTGAAGTCACAAAAAAAATCTACTTACGTTGTGAATTTGAAGGTTGTATGGGATTATCCTCATTATCGCTTGAGTCGCTGACATCTGTTGACAATGTTCTTTTTCGAATAACACTGGTTTCAGTAGAAGCGTTCGATGCGCTAATTATGTCCTCCACCTCTGTAATTATTTTGTCTAGTTCTCTTTCTGCAGCTGGGTATGATTCTGGAAGTAAATAAAGATATTTACAAAATATTTTTATGTGTACCTATGTTTCTATCGACATACCTGTTTTAAAATGAATTTTTTCAATTTTATATTGCCTCCAATTTTTATTAGGCAGCGGAAAGGTTTGTACAAATATGTGTAGTGGTTTCTTGTTAGTTGAGGATGGCCAATAACATTTAGTCCCTTTTTTAGTGATCCATAGCAATGGAACAACAGCAAATTCGACAGCACCATACCGTTTACAAAACTCCACAATACAAAAGTACATTTTTCACATTAACAGTGACTTCTGAAAGTGTAATGGTACAGTCACTATCCGTGCAAAAAAAATGTAATTTTCTGATCGAAAATATACATAGTAAATATAAAATATACATAGTAAATATAAAATGTAAAAAATTACAATTTTTTACACATGTATAATTAGTAGGATTTTTAAAAACATGTATTTTAGTTTTTTAATGAACATTAAGTAATTGCATGAAGCAACGGAAAACAAGCAAATCCTTCTTTGTAAGGAATAAGAAATACTTTATATTTTATTTGTTTGTCACTAAAGGAAATGGCATGTTTGTTGGCAAGACCTGTACAGTAAAAAATATTTAAGGCTGATGATGATATGGGTGTAGTATACAAATCGTATTTATACGCAAAACTTACGCCCTCAAAAGTGATGGTTTTTTCATTTACTGTAATTTCTTTTATTAAGCAAACTTTTCCTGACGACAATATAACACAGTTATTAGGTAATGTATTGGAAAGAGCGTAATCAGAAAAAAATATTTTCTTGCAGTTATATGACAGCAATTTTTTGTTAAAGTCATATATTTCGTTGTATTTAAATGAGGAAGTAAATTTTGTATTATTACTATTTAAATCAGTTTTGCAGACTGTTTCTTCTAAACATTTATTTTTTTCAGTTAAACGGCGATAAATCTGTTGTAATGGTTTTTGTTTATAGGTTACACTTCGTTTAAGAGAATGTAAATAATTTTCGAACGGAAAACAGGAGTATGTAGTTATTGGACCATATCTACGCACATCATCAATTAAGTGCAGAAGACTATGAACATTGTAGACAACAAATTCTTCGCCGAAAATCTTCCACGCTCCTTTAACAAAATCATTTAAAAATGACTGTGCTTTGTCAATATAAAGTTGAATATAATTTTTGTTTGATAATATAATAATGGCACTATGAAGAAGAAGAAAAAGCTTGTACTGGTCTTTTGGAAGAACATCTCGTAATAATACAACTCCATAGTAGAGAAGGAAACTTCTATATTCAGTGGCCTTCCATCGTTTAATTTCGAAAAGAGATCTACATTTTCGAGAAAATTCGCTTGGTTGGTGTGATTTTATAATCATAATTTTTGAATTTAGTAATGTAATTTGTCTGTGCGATAACTTGAATGGAGGTTTTCCATCTATATAATAAACCAAAAGAAGTCTTCTAACTACTCCTAAAAATATGAGGTGCATTGGATCTAAGGGGAACTGTGAAACTAATTTGATATTGATATCCAGCAAAGGAGATTTTGTTTTGATAAATGGTTTATTCACATTTATTTCAAAGTCTTTGTCGTCAATTAGTGGATAAGATCTATTTTCAGCAAAAGTAATGCGATGATTTTTGTAACGTCCAATTATTACACATCGCTCACAGGCATGTTTACTAGTATGACCTACAGTACCCTTTAAATAAGACCTCGCTGGTGCATCACATATAAAACAGTTTATCTTGAATTCATAACGTTTTCCGTCAAAATTGATTCCATTCACCTGTAAATCCCGAACTTCATCCAAAAAAGGTTTCAGAAAACTTTCAACAGGTAGCGGTTTACCACTGCCACAAAAACATGCAATTGCAAATGGACTTTGATTATTCAAATTTGAACATAAACCTAGAATAGGGTAAAATTCTGTAGAAGAGCTCTTGAAAAGCGGTAAGCCGTCTATGTTTATTTGCAAAATAACCATACTTTCATTTGACCTGAAACCATATTTTAATTTAAGTAGTAATTGATTTAGGATGCCCAAATAAAACATTTCCCCATTCATGAGTTTAATAGTAGCTAATTGTCGCGGTGTTTTCATTAACGTACGGAAGTCGATAGGTAAATAATTAATATGAGGGTGAAGTATTTTTAATAGATCATTAACCGCTTTTACGCCTATATTGTAATGAGATGTCCATTCCCGTAGACTATCTGAAAGGTTTTGTTCCACATATTTTTCTTTATTAGAATTAGATGAATCTACTGTATAATGACATAATGGCGTATATAATAAATTCGTATCGTCTTGGGTAGGAGACGACTGCTGAGACGGAGATATTGTACATTCTTTTTCTGAAACTAATAATGATATGTTTGACAATGGAGCTTTTATTTCCACAAAATTCGGAATTGCTTGCACTGAAGTTAATGGTTCATTTTTTCTGTCACCGTAACATTGCTCTTTCAATAGTCTCAACCTTTTTTTTGTTTGCCTTTGCATTTGCCTTTTAGACAATATTTTAAAGGATGACATTTTGAATGGATGTAAATTATACGTGTAAAGGGATGGCCTCAGTCGAAGTTACTATTTAAGTTCGAATACATGTATATGGGAGCACTATTCCTAAAAAACATGTTATAATATAGACAGCTCATAATGACCGATAATTGTACTCATAACATACATTAATTAATTAATATTACTTTCGGCAAGAGAAGAAACTTTACAAAATTTACACTTGCATTATAATATTATATAATAAACAATATTGATTTCATATTTGTTAGACAAATAAGTTTAATTTATTAATTACGGAAAACTCACCCTCTTCTACATTTTCTTTTCTTTAAATTGGTTTTTAACATTAATTACCAAGTCTTGAACTGGGATATAGGACATTATATACATTTTACAAAAACATTAAGGACCAGGACTGTAGGTATTAGAATTCGAATATTATGACAAAAACGTTACTTAAACGTTATGTTATTTTGTAAATTTTTTGGTGCAAACCCCTTATTACTCTCATCCCTTGTTTGGATAAATTTTGTTAAAAAATGTGTCTTACATTATATTTGAATAGACATGTTTATTGTTAAACTACGTTAGGTAGGTACATACATATATGTATAAGTTGTATACTTACTGCGAAATAGGTTATTGCAGGCGAAACTCTGCGAAACACACTGTTTAACTTCACGTTAATATAAGAAACGAGTACTAATAGCAATATGCGATAGCTGTCTCGCTCTCTCCCTACCGGGTGCATACCACCAGTAGGGGGGAGATCACCTCTGTGCGGTCGGATCGAGCGACACAGTGGGTTGCATAAATTTATTTGTTAAATTAAAATTATACATACAACATCAAACAGTACATATATCAAGCAACTAAGATATAAAAAATTCAAATTCCGCAATATTCAATCTATTTATCTTTATTTCAGGTTCGTAGAAACAGTACACCTACTTCTAACGTTAATTTCTAATTGTTACCAAAACGTGTACCTTTGTATTGTTAAATGTAGCCAAATTATACGTTTTACTGGAGTCACTATTAAACGTTTCTTAAACGTGTTTTCTTACACCCATAATTGTTAAAAATAGCTCTGTCATTTTTGCTTTTGCAAATTAAGTATATTCAACCTTCACACGATTAGTGTTTCCAACGTTAAATTTAAAATGTTACCTAAACGTGTTTATGTACCTATTCGTTTAATTGAGTCGAGACATACGTTTTAATAACGTTGTTTTAAACCGATGCTACCTTTTGTCTTTTCACATAACATTTTTATATAAACCATTGTACAGGAGTCACTATTAAATGTTAATTAAACGTATCTGCTTATAACCGTTGATTTAATTAGTCAAAATATATATTTTATTGACGTAAAAGTAATCAGTTTGGTCAACTACTATATATAACGTTCATATGACGTTTGGAAATGTCTTTATCGTTTTTCTTTTAATAGTTACGTTTAGGTAACGTTCATACAAACAGTGTTTCCAACGTTAATTGTAAAACGTTATTTAAACGTGTTTGTGCAGCTATGATGTTCATTTGAGTTTAGATGTACGTTTTATTAACGTTGTTTTTAAATCGTTGCTATATTCACCTTTATCAAACGGTTTATTTTGTAACCTACAACGGTTATTTAACATGTGACACGTTTAATATACGTTGTTAAAACGTATATGTGCTCATTGGGTGTCTATCCACACTCATACCACCTCCATCTAATAAACATTTTTATAAAATAATAAATATTATATTTTTCAACGCAGATTTTTTACAGATCGTAAATAGGTACATTTACCTTACGGTCCTGATTGTTGCTTCTCTATCCAAGATCTCGAATTAAGCTTAAAAAATCAAAATACCGACAACTATATAATTTTGTTTATTACCTCTAATGTTAGAGGGAAATTTTAAATCTTTTCGACGACGAACTTTCTGTTTCTTTTTCAGATTGTGAACAGACTTAAAAATAATCGATCGGTCTCCCACCCGAACCAGATGGACTTTTACGGCATATTGTCCTGGAATATAATCACTCACGTGTCGATGCCACTGGTGGTCTCTTACCGATTTCAGTCGACAGTCTGTTTTTACGAAATATGGAAACACGTGTACAAAATGCGACCGGTTAAAGGGGAGTTAAGCGACTGTGAGGATGATCAGTAATCCGGAATATATTCCGGTAAAAGCTGATTCGATTGTGTGACATCAGCAGTCTCATCTCACGTGCATGGACCTTCTATAGCGAAAGTAACAAATACATTTTATTAAAAACTTGAAATGATTTAAAAATATATGTAAAATCTGTCAGTAAGTTCTTCTATATATTTTTTTTATACAAATTTTATAAAATAAAAATAATTATTTTAAAACATAAACTAGTTTTACTTACAGTTATTGATGTATGCCAATTTATATACCAATATTAAATATTTCGTGCCAAAATATATTTCTTTAAATCACTTGCAAATATTTTTACTGCTCGGTGCTTTGTCCACGTTGACATAAAAATATATGGCTACTTCAAAACAAGTCACAAAATCATCCCATCGTCCCATTAGGTTATCTAGTGACCGTGGCGTGGTGGATGGCAGTATGGCATATATTATGGTATGCTTTGGAGTTGGACAATTTTATTTTCTGAATAGCATACACCTCAATCAGCGTTAGCCAAATCCAATTCATAAAAACCGATTGCAGTATTTTTTCTATAATGGAAAACCAATAATCGTTGGCCAGTAAAAGCTGCTAATATAATAGACCGTAATAACACAAACATCATTCGAAATTGGTGGATTTGGAATGTCCATTTTATTCTGTTCCAAATTTATTTGGTAAAAAAGTAAGGATTAGTAACGTGAAATATTCTACATTTCTATATAGTGCCATGTGATACGGATGTATGTATTTTAGAATCATTCTACGATTCGAAGTTAATTGCAAAATTATGTTTCAGTTGCAAATATCGATATATTCGCACAATATTATCAGACTGTAACAAATTCAAAAAAAACTTCTGACGACTCTGTCTTAAAACAACCAGTTGGTGTAAATACAATTAAGTTGGATACTAAAATCAATAGTTAATCATCTGGGATTGGTATATCAGGATGTGTACACTAGGCGCTGCTCCAGGCGAACTGTTTTGGCTAATGATGGAGTTTATTGCTAGCCTTAAGAGATGTGCGGGGTGGGATTCATCGACAGTTACTGAAATAGCCTAATACACAGGGTGTTAGTAGTCGTAGAAGTCATGTTTTGGGTATAACTTTATAACTTTATGCGAAGAGAAAAAAAAATAAATGAAAAACTAACTTTATTTGAAAACAACATATTCAGAACTATTGGAATGGAGGTGGAATGACAAGTAGTATTCTGGTGTGACACATTCAATAAGTGTTCAATATCGCCACATCCGTCGTCAAGGTTTTAAGACAAAACGCGGAGAATCGGTTTGACGTAGCCGCTAGACATGACAATCCCCTCCTCAGGCAAGCCGTTGACTACGTACCCGACGTGACAGACAAACACAAAAGACCTAGACACCAACTTTTTGCCATTATTCCATGGCTAAAAATTGGCCTCAATGATTTGGGATCGAGGGGGATTATCCCTATTTATCCTGCCTCATCTCGTGTAGGCCTGGACAGCCTTCGTAGGTGGGCCCCATCCCAGTCGTTGGGGTGGTCACCCAGGGTCAAAAAGTTGCGCTTTGTGGGACCTCCTTTTGTCCTGGCTGGGCCCCGCCGGCTAGGGCCCTTTCTTCTNACTACCCTACCCAACCATACCACACATAAACATGACACTACCCCCGGGGTTTACACAGACGAGCCGGCGAAGCAAGAAGAGCGCCAGAAGAAAGGGCCCTAGCCGGCGGGGCCCAGCCAGGACAAAAGGAGGTCCCACAAAGCGCCTACACCGGCCGCATTTGCGGTCGGGGTAGACGACGGATGGGGCCCACCTACGAAGGCTGTCCAGGCCTACACGAGATGAGGCAGGATAAAGAGGGATAATCCCCCTCGATCCCAAATCATTGAGGCCAATTTCTAGCCATGGAATAATGGCGCGCGTCGTCAAGGTATAAGCGAGCTCGTCTAAAGAATCACACATATTAACAAAAAAAATGGATTTTGCCTTATAATTTTTCAACATCACTGATTTCTCTGTCGAATGCTAAAGTTTTCAATTCTTCCTGGAAATAAAAGTTTAAAGGATTCAAGTCTGGGCAATGAGAGAGCTATTGAACTGGAGTTAAGTACTTTTCTGGAAATTTGTAAATATTACATTCCCTGATATACATCAAGAGGTATATCTTCAAAAAGAACTGTTAAATTGTTTTTTAAAGAATTGAAATAATTCCCAGTTAGACACTTTAACAAACAATTGGTCCACAGATCAGTAAAAGGTTGCAAGAAACAGTGTAAACTTCTTTTATGCAACAGTGTAAATTACCTTTTTCTTTCGACTTATATAAACAAAATAAAAATAAAAATAAGTATAACAAAAATATTGAGAGATGTTAGAATAACATGATGATATTAAATGTCAAATATGTAATACGTACAAGTTTTACATATAACCACAACGATACATTATCACACTTAGACCATTGAACAATGATCCGGATTACCACAGATATCTCTGTAAAGACATTGTTGATAAAAGCTTATGCTGTATTACCCACAACTTGCAGCCAGCGCCCTCGCTAGCGGCACTATGAACTATCCTATTTGTGTTTTATAAGCCTTTCGACAGACTCCTGCGTGTACCCTTGTTGGGAATATCCCATGTATTGCAGGTTTCGTCGACAACGAACCAGTTAAAAGTCGGTTACGATGCCTCGAAACCCGTAACTTTTGGGATAATTGACGATGCTTGCAACGCACACACATTTGTAGTGGGAGGGTCGAACCAAAATTGAAGTACGATGCAGTAATATGGTTCGCAGCACCAAATCAAGACTAAAACAATTTTTTGATAAAGTAATGTCATAGAGAAATAATAGTAGAATACGAAAATATTAAAATAATTAGATTCAATTTTATATATTGAGACATATTTTAGTTGATAAATTGGAAATAATTAAAACTCGTATATGTATATAATGTGCAAATAAATAAAAGTACTTACAGAAGCAGGGCACAGATGCATTGAAAAAGTATTAAAAATGGAAAACACCCTTTCATGTTTTCCAATAACATCTCTCAAAAATTTTCCCCGCCTCGTCAACAGATGGATATCCGAGAAAATATATATTTCAGGTACTGGAAAATAACGTAATACAGCGACTTCAGTGTGCGAATTATCCAGGTTATCGAGCTGTAACTGACAATTATTTTATTGACACAGAAAAATTCATTTCGATAAAATTGCGGAGAATGAAATTGACGTTCCATGTCGGTGCTTACATCATATTTAAATATTTGACAAGACTCGTTTATTAAATTTGAAAAATAATGTGGGAGGGAAAAATTGTTTTCCGTTTTAAAATTATTGCAAAAATAGTAGCGGGGTAATACGGTATTTAGGAATAAATAAATAGACACTTTTTTGTAAGAATATGAAAAACCTCGTGAAATACCTCATTGAATGGTTGTTTTCGCCTGAAGATTTTTTCCAACGAGTGGCTAACTTTCCCGAAACATCACCTTTGTATCTTTAATAATAGCTGAAATATGACGTCGAAAATGGGATGCAGGTACATTTTCTCGACAACTAATGATTCATGTTGCAGACTATCGCTTCTCCATAATTAGGTTGCTTACTTGCGTTTGATCTACCATCATTCAATTGACTCCATTTATAATGAAGTTCCGAGAGTCAACTGGTCCTTTGTGCCAGTAATTGATTTACAAAATACATTATTTATCAATGTATTTATGGTTAATTGAGGGTGAGTAATTTAATATAATGTTTACTGACCAAGGGGTAATTATATTTAATGGTCTTTAATTAATGTACTCGATATATTTCTAATTAGTTTATAGTTGATAAAAAACTTTATTATATACTCATGTACATGTATACGATATAAAGGGTCCTGCATCTCAGTTCCTGACATTCTAAGTCACAGGCTAATGTTTCTAGATGTCAAACCCTTGACTATGGAGGATTTGTGCACCTTTTTAATGATTTTTTTACTTTTATTATGACTAATTTTCGCAAATTTAGAACTATTTCGCTGTTTTATATCAAAATTTCTGTAAAAGATTTTGTAAATACGTAATCGTGACTGATACGATGATATTAAAATTAAAACTAGTGTTAATTGTCTAGGTTAGTCTATGCAAATATTTCAATTAATAATTCCAGTAATTTTTTACTCTATTTTAAAAGCATTAAACAATGTTCTTCGATATCAGAAATACAGGTATACAAAACGAATCAAACCTCGCAGATATTACACCGAACTGCTGGTATTGTGGGAAACAACTACCTTATGGGCTATGGGCAATAAATAACATGTATATCTCTACCTCTGATCTGAGGCTTCGCATCGATCAATTTATTCGGCATCCTAATGCCTGCCCTGACTGACTGGCGTGCCGGTGAACAATCCCAGTTTTTTTGCTAAGGGACGTTGGTCGTGCATTTCATTGTCGTTTGTGTGAAGTGAACTTGAGTGATTCTTATTTTACAGTGTACTGTTTATTTATTTTATATAGTTGCGACAAAACATGTACTACAAAGAGTTTTTCTTATTTCCACATTTTATTTGGGATTATTTCATTAGGCAGCTACTCTGATATGGAATTAATAAATATTAATATAACAGAATTATATCTAAACATTTTAATGTATATATAAGTTTGTTATATTAATATTTATTATTTCTATATAAGAGAAGCTGCCTAACGAAACAATCCCAGGTAAAATGTGGAAACAAACGGATATTTTTGTAGCAGCTAATTCAAATACATTATAAAATTTTATTTCACATTTTAAATTTAACAGTGAGATCTAATGGTGTGTTAGGAGGCAAATTATATCTTTAATTATGCACAAGGAACTTAGTTTCTTGTGAAATTATATTTCGTGACGTTTAAAACGAGGCGAAACATTTCGTTTACGAAAGTAAATAGACCGCTGATAAATTTTAATTCGCCAGCACCAAAATTAAAGCAAGTTAAGCGATTCATGGGAATAGTCTGTGTAATTATTAGGATTATACAGAATTAATATTAAGATGATTATGGCGTTATGTAAACCTGGCAGATAAAGGCAGGGGCGCGCGGTCTGTAATCGTCAAGGGAAGATGAAATACGGTTCACATCAAACTGATATATGATCTGTATTATAGACT